CCTGTCTCAATTCCCTGCCTGTCTCCATCTTCGGTGTCTTCCCTGGTGCTTTGATCTCGGAGAAGGAAGTGGTAAATAACTATGTAGACCTAGAAATTGGGTTTTTGGTTTTATTTAGCTTTCTAGAGCCCTTGCTCTGTGTGGGTATAGCTCAATCTGTACTTGCTCGCTTTCACAGACTACCTGTAGAGCTGATGGGCAAGTGTGACACTCCTTCCTTTCACAAGCCATCAACATAAAGGACTTCAAGGATGAGTTCACAGAGGGCTCTCTGCCTTCTTGCCCTCTGTTTGCCAACTTTGTCTCTTTGCCAAGCACTGCTGCTTTCTCACTCAAGACTAGAAACTGTAGCAACTCCCCCTGCCCTCCACTCTGAATGATTGTGAACCCTATTGCCCTACTCACATTGTAACACTGTATGTGAAATTTTTAGAGCTGTGTTAAAATGGAGCATGTACTGTTGGTATTGAGCCACACATGCTGTATGGTTTGCTTTGCACAGGTTTTAGCTAAGTTAACCTTTGAGAATGCTTATCTCAGAGATTATCTGTTTCTGTTTTTTTTTTTTTTACTTTCTTCTTGCCAAGGAACTCATACTAAATATACAAAGCCCAATGGGAAGGTTTGAAGCCAAAAACACTCATTTTATTATGTTTCTAAACTTAGATTGACAAAACCAGTCAATATAAGTGATTTTCATTTATATATATGTATATATATGATACTATTGTTATTATGCATCACTTAGATAAAACAAATCTGATAATTTTTCTTTAGCACATTTAACTGATTCTTCCTTTTCCTCCTGAAAAAAATTTTCATTCTTATTCATTATTTTTGTATACTGAAGTAAAATTACTCCATTATAGTAGGTTTTTTAAAGAAGTAAATTTAAATATCCTAGATTTAATACAAATATTCTATGCATATATTTCTTGCCTTCCCAGAAATCACTGATAAATTAAGTTTTATAACTGAAAATTATCTTAATTTTCTAGCAGAGATATTTTAAATATTGCCTGCCTATAATGACTCATTATCACTGTTTCCCTTTAACCCAAGCATTCAATTCATATTTTCTAAAATTAAGTAATTTATGCATTGTAATATAATCATATACTAAAAGAAAAATATTTTTATCCTTTTCAAATAATTAGGATTTGTGAGAATAAAGACAATAAAAACTTTCTCAAAGCCCACACTGATAGGAATAAATGAGTTTCTCTATTTTTATTTAAATATTGATTCTGTATTTACTCTTTTGGCTAATGTATAGTTCTCTGTTGAGCACTGCAGGCATCAGTATTTTTCTTTCAAAATTGCTTTCTCGGTCTATTTTAATCATCACTTTATACCTTGTTTTATTTTAAAATTTTTTGAAAATTTACTTACTTTGAATTTATGTGTGTGGCTTGTTTTGCCTGCTCGTGTCTGTGCTCCAAATGTGTGCAGTGTTCATGGAGACCAGGAGAGGATGTTACATCTCCTGGATTAGAGTTACAGATAGTTGTGAGCTTCTGGGAACAGAACCCAAATCCTCTGGAAGAGAAACTAGTGCTCTCAGTCATGAAGTCTCACATGAGAATCCCACTATTCTTTTGTCACAAGGAATCCCAGATTCCCTTTGTAGGTTCTTGGTCTTGATAAAAGAATCTAACAGTAAACTAGAGGGGAACTTGATTTTTTTCTATATATAATATGCCTTTGTTGTTTTTTTTAAAGTACATTTAGCATAGTATGAACTTCAGATTCTTGTCTTTTAATAGGTTTTCTGTCAAAGTAAAAACATGAATTTTAGCTGGGTGTTGGTGGCACACACCTTTAATCCCAGCACTTGGGAGGCAGAGGCAGGTGGATCTCTGTGAGTTCAAGACCAGTCTGGTCTACAGAGCGAGTTCCAGGACAGCCTCCAAAACAATACAGAGAAATCCTGTCTCAAAACAAAACAAAACAAAACAAAAAACCCATGAATTTTAAATTTGTAACTGTACCAGGCATATTTTAAGGGAGATTGTATTATTATTTCAATACTTAGATGCTTTAAGTGAATATATACACAATAGTTTGTGTTTGAAATACAAATTATGATGTAGGTGAAATCTTCATTGGCATCTCTGTTTATTTTGGATTTGTATGCCTCACATATCTCCCTTGAATGTGCTTTCACAAAAAGCAAAAAATATTATTGTATTTTGTTTATGTAAGTATTGGAAACAGGCAGTAGGAATTTCACTATCACATTATTGTCGTCAAAAAGCCAGTGATTCCAAATTCTTGTGCCTCAAAAGACATATTAGTTTTCTTTCTTTTGCTCTGATAAAATACACATACCAGCACATTCATGTACACAGACAGAAACCTTAGAGGATAAGGCATGCATTTTAGCTCACAATTCCAGATGATATTCCACCACAGTGGGGAAGTCAAGACAGCAAGAACTTCAAGTAGCTATTCATATCACATCCCTAGTCAAGAGCAGAGAGAAATGAATGTGCACCTGCACCTCTCTATTCATTCTCCTCTCTGCATTTGTATAATCCAGGACCCAAACCCAGATGAGAGTTCTGCAAATGGTCAACAGGATTTCCCACTTCAGATAATGCAATCAAGACAATCAAGACAATGCCCACAAGCCAGCCTCATCTAGACAGTCTCTCATTGAAACTCTTCTCAGGTTACATTAGATTGTGTTTGAAACTGACAATTAAAACTTAACATTGTAAACACATTCAGAAACATTATTGGGGAATTAGAGAAAACAACAGGGCAGGCAATTCACACATCTTGGTAGTTTCCTGGCTGAAGGAGATGAAACGGGGAAGGAGAGAAAAGCTAAGCTTTCTGAGAAGTTAGTAAGTGTCACGCTCAACACTGGAGTCCAGGGCCTATTGCTTGGTGGGAAGCTTCATTGTGGAAGGAAAAGGAGGAAGGTTAGGCTTTTTGGGTGAACTCAGAGAACAGGATTAACAGAGTCTGCTAGCAACCATGTGGGTTAAGAGATCTTAGAAGTCTAGTGCATATTTCATCATAGTTATTCCTCTCATTTTCTTTCTGTCTTTTTTTTCCTTCCAATTTTTTAAATCAAGTCTCCATGGACATCATATGTCTTCTGACATTAGGGTGCTCTTCTTTAGGTTGTAAAGCAGGGTTTTCTCCTTGCAGAAGGCAGACTTTACACTTGTCTGACTAAAGGAAGTGACTGTTGTTCCCTTCCAAGTGACATGATCAGCCATTAACCAAGACACTTGTCAGGAGCTTAGTGACCATACACAAGTCAATGTGTGTCAGAATATACTGTCAACTTATAGGGATTCATGTGTCTCCAAGGGAATCTTTGACACAGGAGGCATCTACTGCTACAGGAGATGAATCTTACATGCCATGGATGATCAGGCTATGTGTAATAAAGTAACAGAGAGAAACATGAATGTGTCTCAAATGAGTCTGGAGGTGTTGACTTAAGATGGCCCCTTATTGCCTTTCCTCTTGTCTAACATCCAGTATCACTATTTGTAAATCTTTGGAAACATATTCTCTCAACTTGAAATTTCTATTCACTGGATATCTCTGTAACACTCTATGATACATTGTTTTTCCAAGAGTTTCATAAAAATGATTGAATTATGGTTAGCAAATCTTACATCTTGGGCTACAGTATCACCACCTTCCTGTTTCACTTACTTTGCCACAGTGCTGTTTACAGTGCTTTCTTTAAGATAACCTTCTTCTCTCAAGTGAATATCATGCAAACTTCAATAAAACTCATTACATGGACTCCTGTACCTGTCTGTTTGCCATGGACCAGAGACTTTCTTAATAGCAAGCACTTCTACTTTGCTTTTGATTTTTTATATCTGTTGCTTATGCAAAGAAAACAAAACATAAGTTATGTGTCCCACACTACCACAAGGCTCTTTGTGAAATCTTGGATGAAATTTAGCAGTGTAAATATATGGTCATTGGTTTTTGGAAAATTTAGCAAAGCAAGGTATTTTAACTAGATTGCTACATAATTCTGTAGCTTAGTTTTGAAACTTTTCTCCTTGATTTTAAAGGGGGCTCCCAAACTTTTAAAGATTTGAACACATGAAACCTATCTTGATGCTTGCTGACAGATATGTCTGGAAATATTCTGCAATAAGAAAAAAAATTAATGAGTAACTAAAAGAACAGAAAAGCAAGAGGGTTGTTATATTCAGTCTTGTCTGAGCTGTGCAGCAAGACCCTGCTTAAACAGACAGACAGACAGACAGACAGACAGAGGTGTTGGACATTTCTGGTAAATTTTTTGTTTGTTTTGTTTTTACCAAACACCAAAGGCCACCCTGTTATGCCATCCTCTAAAGCTCTCACAAAGGTTAACTTTCTTCTGTGGCCTCAAGGATGGAGCCCAGGCCTCACAGTAATGTTATGTTAATTAATCTTTTTCTCTGTGCTTCGCCTAAATTTAATTCATTAAAATAATCTATACTAAAGTGTTGACAATATAGCAGTTTCAACAGATGATTGTAGTATTTTGTGTTGAATAAGCAAAAAAACCAGGTCACCCACCATCAGATTATCCAGTTCTGATAAGCATGTGCATTCTGGAAGGGTAGGGACCTGGGGAGTCCTCTCATTGTATTAAATATATTAAAAACAGAAAATGAAACAAAAGTTGGATATTTTTCCTTCTTTCTTGTCCTCTCCTCTCCTCTATTTCTCCCAATTCCCTCCTCTTTACTCCTTCTGTCTACCCCATTTTTCTCATTTCCATTACATTTCTTTTGTTTGTTTGTTTTTTGTCTGTTTGTTTTTTTGAGAGAGGGTTTCTCTCTATTGCATTGGAGGCTGTTTTGGAACTCACTCTGGAGACCAGGCTGGCCTCGAACTCACAGAGATCTGCCTGCCTCTACCTCCCAAGTGCTAGGATTAAAGGCATGCGCCACCAATGCCCGGCTTCCATTGCGTTTCTTAGTTTTTTTCCTTCTAACTTATTTCCTTGTCTTTTCTTGATGCAGGTGTTTCATAGTATTCAACTGCCATAAAGCTTTCCTTGTTTTTGAAAACTGAACCATCTACTTAACCGAAGATGAAAATGCCATTGCTGGTCAGCCATCTCCTGCTAATCTCCGTCATATCCTGTCTAGGAGGTAAGAACAAGCCTATGTCTAGTCTCCATAAATTATGTGAATATAATTATTATGTGTTTTTATCATGAACACTTTCATGTGAAATTAGAATTTATGTCTTCTATTGACATCTGGGTCGGGTCATATTAGTAAATACATTTTATATGCTAAGATTAACCTTTATTTTATTTTTTAGTTTTTATGAGACAGGGTTTCTCTGTATTGTTTTGGAGGCTGTCGGTCTCGAACTCACAGAGATCTGCCTGCCTCTGCCTCCCGAGTGCTGGGATTAAAGACATGCGTCACCACCGCCCGGCGTATTTTTTATTTTTAATGAAGATTTTGTAAACTTCTGTGCCAAAAAGCTCATAAACCTGGAAACTTTGTATCTCTTGAAAGATAAACACTAATATGTCACAGACTGGTCAATTTTAACTTAATTTATGTAGTGGTGAAAAAGACAGGTGTCATTTCTCCCAGCTGCCTACAATTGAATGAACTTTACTATCTTTAATAATAGGAAAGTGTAGTAAGAAATTCAAAAAGTAACATTTTAAATGTCTTCCTCTTGTCTTTAATACAACTTACTTGTCAATTAGCATTAAATTAAGTATATATAACTGTTTAATAATTGATTCACAAGATTTCTTAAAAAACCATAAATACATAGCTATTATGAGTATCCAGAACAACACTGAATCTGATAAATCTTTCATTTGCTTACTCAATTTTAGGAAAATAGTGTCAAATATTCTATGAACGCTATAGGCATATAAAGAATAGCATAGCAAATTTGAGCTTTCAGCACAAAGATCATGTTTCTCTCTTTCAGAGGAAATATGAAAATTCAGAGACATTTCCCACAAGCATAGTCACATATTTCTAATGGCAGTAGTATGTTTCCTAATAATCTTTTTCTCCCCTCAAACCTCCATCTCAATGACTTTTGCTCAGTGAGTACTTACTGAGTTGTTATTCATCTGAAGATATACTTTGATACACTGCTCTCTACCAGTCTCTGTAAGGATATACCCCAAGACTATTCTATTGCATTTATGATTTACTTAGTTCACTTGTTTGTCTGATACAGGGCCCCTTGTTGCCCAGGCTGCCCTGAAACTTACTGGGTAGTCAAAGATGACCTTGAACTATCATCTTCCTGAGTGCTGGGATCACAGTATGGTCAGTTAGTCTTTATTTTTAAGGAAATAAAAATTATGTTTTTTGAATAGATGGTGATTTTTATCACACCAATTTTGGAATTTGGTGAAAAAAATTTCATTAATGTCACCAGTGGGATAGATGAAGCACAGAACCATGCTTTGCCTGAAGCAGCTGGGGCCTTCCCTCCATCTTTCAGGGACCTAAACTCAAGTATAAACAAATCTTTGGTTTTGAAGCAAAAAAGTAATTTCTGCTTACAAAGCAGAGTCAGAGTGTATTAGAAATATAGGGAAAGGAGCTTCGGGACAATTACATCACAACTTTGAGTATTGGTGTGGGATTCTCACAGAACAGTCACAATTGTCTCACTTGCAAACATACACACCATGTTGACAGTTCTACAGTTACATCCCCAAGGGTGTCGGAGAAAAACAAAATTTTCCCTTTCTCTCTTCTTGTTAATTATGAATAGAGGATGGATCCAAAGATGCCTTGGTTAAGAATAAAGTTTGATAAGAGCAATCCAGGCACCACTAGCCTAGCATAAAGACAGGTCTTCCTGAGTCCCCTAGAAATCAGGGTTTACAGCTAAGAAGGGGCAAAGGCCTTGAGCAAATGCTCAGACACAGAGGTGCTGGGATTTTTCCCTTTCTGTCCCCATCCTGTTCCTCCTTTTTCAACCCTGCCTCACTTAATATTTAAGGATTTAACGACAATGGCAAGTATGCATAGACACAAGAGTGACTGCATGCACATATGTGGATATGTAATGTGGGATGTGTACATAGTACATAAGAAGAAATCTTATACAGTTATTGACATCTTGTTATAAATGAAATAAAAGTGTTTATTAGTCTCCCAAATTCATACTAATTCTATTGGTTGTGGACATCAGTGCTACAACTGTATTATATAAAAATAATTAAACAATATTCACACAGATGTAAAGACTTGTTAACCCTCGGTATGAAGACTATGTTCTGCTAGTTCAGACTCTCTGACCATGTTCGAGAGCACAACTCAAAGAATTACTCCACATAAAATTTGTCCTTCTTATTTTTTTTAGAGTTCACATGGCACAGAAGATATGGTCATGGAGGTAAGATTTAAATAGTTTTTATTGTAAAAATGATAATTTATTTCTGCTTTAAGGTGTGGTAATACTAAACCTGAAGGCAAAAGATTACTGTTAGAAATCCTCGAAGGCATTTTTTTTTCTGAGATCATTAAACATGTTGATTGTTGAAAGACCACACACACACACACACACACACACACACACACACACACACGTTGTTTGGGTAGATGAAAACTAATCAGTGTGGTCTCCATTTTGTCTTTACGCGCTTCGTAACAAAGCAGTGCTGCAACATTTGATTTGGTGTTTAAAGATTGCTTAAGTTCTCTTTTTGCAAGCCTCATGTTTGCTTCAAGAGAAAGAACTCAAGTTAGTGCATTTGAAACCCTAAGATTCAGTGCAATTAGGAGGGGAAATATGTCTACTGTTTGAGATGTAACAACCAAGCCTGCTGCTGTAGAGTCTCCTGTGATTACCGGTTTCTCTGAAGTACAGGCAGTCAAAAGAAGACCAACTTGGATCTGCCTCTCCAGCTGGAACTCGCAGGCTAAGCTGGTGTTTTTTACATAAATTAGTCAACTCCTATGCCTTTCTGGTTTTCAATGGGAAAAATCACAGGGTTTCTTACTGCAAGAAGCCCACAAAGAACACAGCAAATTAAGGTGATGCTGTGACTGACGGACTTTGTGCTCAGTGACTGGTAACTGTTAACTCACTAAAGCCACTGCATCATGACAGAATGAAAGACCAAGAGGGACTGCTGAACATCCAGGGTGACAGCCTCTATTCCAAATCCAAATGCTGCCACTCAGATTGAGAAAGATTTCTACTTGGAGGCTTAAGGAACAGAAGGACAAGAAAGTAGCTCAAACACCATCAAAGTCATTTCTCCTCCCTCCTCATGAGCTGGGAATCACTACATGTAGATTTTCTAAAGATCAGTGGCATAGCTTCCTAGACTTCTTGCACCTTATCATAAGTAGGAAATATGACAAGGTAATACTTCCTTAAGAAAACAATTGAAGTATGCTTCAAAGGAATTATTTGATGATTCATGGTGTGCTTAATAATGGAAGCTGAAAATAAGGAAGCCTGAAGTATTTTAATATTCAGAAGTAGCACAAAATCTAAATAAACAAGGTAGCTGATGAAAAGGTGTTTTGAAAAAACACTTGTAATTTCTGTAGGAATTCCAGTAGAAAGTAATTTATTGTCAAATAAGCCTTCGGAAGCTCTGCTGCAGAGTAAAGCTTAATGATTTATATTTAATTGTGGTTAGGATTTATAGTACTAAAGAAGTATGTACAGGCATTTCATCGCACTGACATAGTAAAACACCTGGAACTCAGTGACTAAGAACATCAATTTATTTTTCACACTCTAGAAAATAGAACCCAAGCTCAACATGTTGGCGGGACTGTGGTCCCTTGGAACATGCAGAACCCTTGCCCCTTTCAGCTGCCAGTAGCCTCCACATTCTCCTTTGATTGTGAAGGCATAGTTTCAGTGTCTGCCTCCAGCTGCTGGAAACTTCTCCCTATGGCTCTTAAAATTAACCTTCCATCTGAGAACACCAAAGTGCCCCCTGCCCCATGCACACTGTTTTGTAAGATGAGTCTCTGAGGACACACACACACACACACACACACACACACACACACACACACACGTTCACAAGCTCAGTTAGCATCCAGCTGATAATCACCAAGGACCCTTTATCTATGTTAAATTTGCATTTGTGACTCTTCACTTGAGGTGGTGTCCTGGGTGCCCAGCAAACCCTGCATTTCCCTGAACATACATTTCCCCTCTCCTTAGTCATGTCTCAGGGTACCTCACTCCCCATACCTCTAGAATTCTTGTGCATTCTGACTTTCAGATGTCCAATTTTATCCCTATTACATAGGGAGTTTAGAGATGATGAGAAGACAGCTCCACAGGCTCCTCCTACATCACCTACTCACGGCTCATATCTGCACTGGTGTGCCATGCTGCCATTTGTAGGGCTCACCATACCTGCCCTTCTCTTGTGCAGCAGGTGTGTTTCATCTAGTTCATTTAACCTGTAGTCACAGAAAATGTCCCTTCTCTCCTTCTTTGTGGATATTACTATCAACACATATACATTTCATTTTGGGGGTGGTTGTGATGAAGGTCTTTTAACCCAGCATTTGTGAGGCAGAGAGGTAGGTGGATCTCTGTGAGTTCAAATCCAGCCTGGTCTACATAGAGAGTTCCAAGATACTCAGGGCTACATAGAGACACACCATATGACCAAACCATTAATAATAATAATGATAATAAATAATAACAATACTGTCACTTGCAAACTCTATACTCAATATCCTACGTATTCCATCAACTTGACAGCAATATAACAACAAAAATTCTTTTGCCTGTGGTGGCTCTTTTCCATTCCTTTACCTATCTTCCCCTTTGAATACAGCAAACTTTAACACCAATAATGAAACATTGCCTCTGCCACCCATGATTTACAAGTGATTAATGCAGTAAGCCACTCTCCAGCTTCCCCTGAAGTGAACAGTTGGGCTATCACAAATAGGCAGAACAGTAATCTAAGTGGAGATGGGCATTTCTTTTTTATCTGCCTCTTTTAAAACAAGAGAATCTTTCCCAGACTGCTTTGAAAAAATCGTCATGGCCTGACTTGTTCTGGGTCCTTTCCAGCTATAGCAGACTCTGCCTTTGGGGTGCATCAGACATGAAGTGGCCTGGGAATATTCCCAGCCATGTCTAGATGTTTATGAAATGGATTGAGGTGCCAAGGAGGCTATAAAGACATGATGTACTCTCCCTGTGACATAAAGCCAAGCAAATAATTTAGTCTCTATATCCAGTTTTGCTAATCCAATCCTCACCATTCTTTTAAAAATTGGATTTATGCACACCTGTGAGAGGAACTCTGAATTTTGCCTTGTTGAGGATGGTAAATTCATGCAGTGTTACTTCTTACCCATTGACCTAAGAAGTGATAGTGGTACCAGAGTATTCAAAACCAAATCGTTGATTGTCTCCGTGAAGGACCAGTACTATGTGGAAGTTTGTGCTCAGCAATGTAACTCTTGCCTCATGTAGATCATTCATTGTATTTCAAGAGAGCTTAAATCACTTCACTCTTGGCTCCATGACAAGAGATATTGTAAATATTGTAAGAATTTTAATAACAGACTTTTAAATTTTGATGCCATTGCTTTATTTCCTAGTATATTTTTCTTAGACTCATCTGACAACATACTTATTCAAAATTCTGTTTAATAACAGATTGAGATGACATATTTCAGAATGAAAAAAACTGGAATCTGTCTTAAGACAGACAGAAAAGCTACTCAAAATAACTCTCAAGCACAAACTGCAATCTTTTACTTTCAATCTCTAGAAATACAACCAAATAGCAAGATTCCAGAGGACTATCTCCACACAGTTTGAAAAGTGTGAGGATACTATTTTAACTCATGCCGCTGGCAGATTGTGAAGTCTCTGGACATGAAAGGCCCACTGAAGGAGCAGCAGTGGTTTTTGACTGTCTTTTATCTGCAGATTTTACTTCAGATATGCATGTGTGCTCCTTTTCTTTCTCATCAACATTCTTAACCAAATTTGCTAAAGTAATCACTTCTAAGGTAGAGTTATGATAGCTGCATTAGATAGAGGAAAGTGAAAAGCTTTGTTAAAATGAGTTTGTATTAGGACAAAAAAAGATCAAAAGAAAATGTGTTAATTAAATCTTCAGGAGACCTGAGATGTTTCCTCCAACTTTGTGCCTCCTCCTTCCCCTGCCCCCATAAAACTTCCAAAACATCAAAAGCTGTCACCTGAATCTTCTCTCTGTTACAAAGGTAAGAGACAGGCACCCAGTTCTGCAGGCTGAATATAGAGCTGCCTTCAGTAGCCCGTTCTGAGTCTCGTGCAGAAAGATCTTTCTCTGGGTTTGAGCACTCCTGTTGAGTTAGGGTCCATTGAGTCACAATACTGAGTGATGGGGTTAGGTTCCTGCGGAGGGTGATAATGAGAAGCAAAGACTTGAAACAGTAACTGCTGCTCTTAAGGGTCAGTTTCAGTTCCCAGTTAACATGTGCAGAATCATCCATAAGCTTCACAGGGGATCCAGTCTTGTCCAGTGTAGAAAATTCTAGACATGTAAGCAACGTGTGTTCACTAAAAGTATAGCCCTATCCTGGAAACAAGAAAATTTTTAAATGTGATTTTCTGCCATATGAAAATTAATTAAATTTCATTATGTTATCACTCCAAGGTTTCATATCTGTCCCTATAGAAGTTATAAGCTAATGGAGGGTTGGAAAATATACAGACATCATTTGTGCAAAATATTGCCATTAAGAAGAAATAATGTAGGAATACTTTTGTTTGACCTATAGAACTTTAACTACAAATTCTAATTCTTTAATATTTACATAAGTTCTTTGCATGATTGCCTTCCTAATATGAATATGAATATATATATTCACACATCACAAGGTTAAGGCCTCACTGCTGTTAGGAGGTGATATTTCATTCAGGCAGTATCTCAAAGGTCGATGTTAGAGAAGATAAAAACCTCTGTGTTGCTTGAGTTAAACCATCTATTATAAAGCAAGCTCAGAATCCTGAGTGGGCATCTCTCATTAACAAATGAAGCTTTTAGGGAATAGGTTACATTCGATCAAGTTGTTGGCAAAAGGGGCAACATGGGAACCCCACAAACAACCCAGGCTCTTGCCAAGGATGTTGATTGTTCTCCACAAACTGACTGAAGACAAAACAGACACAAGTCATTGAAGATGGGGAAGTTGAACTGGTGCCCATCTAGAGCCATTACCCTGGCATGGCTCCATGGTATGGGAAGGCGCTGTACATGCTACCAAAGGAGAAATGTGAACACAAATCCACCTACAAATCCTTTAATTTACACCAATGGCCTGCCCGCAAGATACATTGGTGAGATAGTGACAAAAATCTTGTGGGAGTAACCAATATCTGAATGGATTTAAGGCACACTCCATGAAATGGAACCCATACCAACACTGGTTGGGTGGCCAAGAAAGAACCTAAGATTAGATCAGCCAGGGACCTAAGCGAAAACCAAACACGAGTGTTCAACTAAAGGAACATAGCAATAAAATAGATCCTAATAACATTCTGCTATACTCATAGATCAGTGCCTTGCTCTGGCATCATCAGAGAATCTTCTTCCTGCAACAAATAGGAACAAATACGGAGACTCACATCTAAATAAAATGTATGTAGGAGTGAGAGACCTTGGGACACACAGTCTTTGGATGTCTCCATCTAAACACTTTCCTCAGAGCTCAGGGAACTCTGCAGCAAAGGAGACAGAAAGAGTGTAAGAGCCAGTGGGGATGGAAGACACCAAGTAAACAAGGCCTTCTAAACATAGCCATTCAACAACCATAAACTCACAGACTGTAGCAGCTTGCACAGGGCCAGCACAGGTCTGCACCAGAAACGATCCTAGAACTGGGAGAAATATATGTATACACCCATCCCAACCAAGAAGCTGACTGAAACTGGTAACTACTTGCAAATGAAAAACTAGTTTTCTGCAAGTGAGTCTCACTGGGGAAACAAATCACTCTTAAAGATAGGCCCCATACTCAGTCAATACAACACGAACTCAATGGCAGCTTTGGATGTCCTTTGTCTTATAATGTTGAGTCAGAACATTCTCTTTTTTCTTTATTTTATATATTTTTATTATTACTATTACCTTACAGGTCCTTTGTGCATATATTATAGATTTTGTGTATTCGTGATTCTTGTGTGAATCTTTGAGGCTCCATGCATTACTTGTGCCTTTGCTTTGGCTCTTTTTCTTTCCTTGTTTTCCTTTGTCCTGTGCTGATTTGTTTGTTTTTGTTTTATTTTATTATGTTCTATTTTACCTTATCATTATTTCTTAGATGCTTGTTTGTTTTCTAAGGAGAGATGGAAAGTGTGTGGATCTGGCGAAAGAGCTGGGAGGAGGCAGGGACTGCTGTAACTTTACTTATTTTAAATAAAAGGGGAAAACGAATAAGCTGGGGTATCCTGACATGATGGTACATGCCTGCCATCCTGGTATTCAGGAGGTAAAGACAGGAAAATCTGGAGTGTGAGGTCAGCCTGGGCTACTCGAGACTCTCTTAAGTTAAGAAAAACCAGAAACAAGATAAAACAATGACAACAATGCAAGAAGTGAACCATGGCTTGTTCTATCGGAGCCATCACAGTGACTTCAGAGAAGAATTTCCTGCCTTTCCAGGCACATGACTCATCACTGATGGAAAATGTTCAAGGCAGAGAAGGGCAGCGGTACCTGCCAGGCCGGAAAGCTCACGTTACACACCACTAACTCATTCAGGGCATATGGGTCTTAGCTGTAGTCTGTAGATGATGCCACACTAGGGACATGCAAGCCACTCCTGCCTCTTCAACCTTTCCTGCGACTTCATTTTTGTTTCCTTCCAGAGAAGACAGACTCCCAGGACAAGTGCTGCCCAAACTGGGTACATATGATGGGTTTCAAACCAGTTAGTTCATCAACTCCCATACTCGCAATTTATATATATGTTGTCACAGGTGATAGTTGAGTATGAATCTGGGTCACATGTTCAGGAAAGAAAACAATTCAAAAGTAAATAATCTCTGCTAGAGCATTCAGGAGTTCACTTATCACTTCGTTCTTATCTTCTAAAATCTTTAAGCACCTTTGCATTCTAGACCACTAGGCAGCTGGGTAGCAAGGGACAGTGATTAAAGAGGCCACCGGTCTCCAATCACTGCCAGTGTGGTAACACAGAAGGCTGCATCAAATGTCAAAACAGGGGTGTTAAGTCCCACAGCCCCAGTTGGGAATCATATAGGGCCACAAAAGAGGGTCGTTTTGAACAGGAAGGACGGGAGGCAGCTTCCTGAAGAAATTCATGTCAAATGTACTTTGTAAGAAAAGTAGGGTGATGATTTTAGAAAGTAGGAAAGCTCAAAGCTCATACGAAGACCTGGAGGCATGAATGCGCATGCACATGGATTCGTGTGTGTAGAGGGGGCTATACAGACATAGCTGGCAAACGGTACTTTCAGGGAAGCAATGAGAGACCCACAGAAAAGAAGTACTTTTGGTGCAACCAAATCTTTGACTTACAAAGGGGTGCACTATAAAAATCATCTTGTTTTTATTTCAGTTTCTGAGGAGGACAAAGGATTTGGACCCATTTTTGAAGAGCAACCAATCAATACCATTTACCCAGAGGAGTCACTGGAAGGAAAAGTTTCACTCAACTGCCGGGCACGGGCCAGCCCATTTCCAGTTTACAAGTAATGCACCCGACTGCTCTTTTCAGAGGGAGGGCCAGGGTGGCAGAGTGCAGGTGGGACCTGTGACCTCAGATCTGCAGCAAAATCTCTAAGACAGGTCTGTAAGGTCCATGGACACTGACTCAAATATTGGCAGATCTATTACTGAAAACAAAACATGGTATTTATATATATGTTGTTTTCTTAAACATATGTAAGAATTCATTTATGCATAGGCTATACAGGTAGATCTGATATTATCTAATGAGCTGATGCTTTCAAACAAACAAAATGTCACATAAAAACATATCTATGTCTCTATATAATCATTTTGTATGTACTGTCCCAGATAGCTCAAATCTATTAGTGACTGATAATATTTCCATATTAACTACATTCAAAAGTTTGTATAGGCAATCCCTGAAGGTGTTACCCATTTTAGCTGATCTCAAATCTCTAACCCTGACAATTTAGACAGTTTCCTGTGGCACTGGGTTCAACCCTAACACTCATGTATGTGAGGCAAGCTCTCGGCCACTGAGCTGTGTTTCCAGCACAGAAATATGTCTTAGCCAGGTGATAGTGGTGGTAGCAGCCATGCCTTTAATCCCATTACTCCGGAGACAGAGGCAGGAGGATCTCTGTGAGTATGAGGCCAGCTTGGTTTACAAAGCTAGTTTCAGAACAGGCAGGGCTACACAGAGAAATCCTGTCTCAAAAGACAAAAAAAACAAAACAAAACAAAATGTGTCTTAAATATTTCCACCTTCTGAACAGTTATGGGTTACGGTTAATTCTTTGTGCTGTCACAAAAACTTGGTAAGAAGTAAAACTTGGTTTCTCTGCTACAGAGAGTTTGCAAAATTGTACCAACAATTTAATTTGATTAAAAAACTAAAAGTTAAATAAATGCCAGTGAACTTGAATTTATTTTGTGAGGTGTTTCCATGAAAGAGAAACCAGTGATGGGAAAAATGGGACTTCAGTGGACAAATGTCACCTGACTTAATTGAAGTATATCAATTAACAATTAAGTGTTTGATAGTAGGCTTTCCTCCTACTGTAAAACAGCTTTCTATTGGTATAAAGAGTTATTACCAGGAAAAATAGCCCCTTCCCACCACTTAATTATAATTGTGTTCATTTTCTCTTGCCTCTAGCCATAATTACAGGATTACCACTAAAGTAAAATATGAATTTAGATATAAAGCCACCATCTTTCTGACATTATTTTTATGGTTTCAATTTCATGCATGAGAACACAATATAAATTATAGATAACACATTGTTTTAAAAATTATTTGGTTGCTAGACAGACTGCAGTGACCTCGGCACACAGACATAGCCTTGGACTGGCATCAGTGACAGGTTGTAGAGATTTATCCAAGACATATTTGCAGATGATGTTAAAGGCTAACTTAAATACATTGGTTTGACCGTGTGAGTTAAGGACTGGCTGGTGAGATGGCTTCTAAAGAAGCCTATTTCGGTGATACAGATCTACCATACAGTCCTCCACAGCAGCCTCCAGAGTGGCTTGGAGGCAACCAGTCAGCAGATACTGTGCTCAGTGTTTCTGGGAACACAGCATGGGCAGGGGTTTTGTCCTTCCCCACACAGAGGCAATAGGAATGAAATGTAGTCTGAAAAATATGTCACTGAATCCACCCCACAGGTTTTAGCCAAACAATGTCCCCAGCTTGAACTGCCTTGCCTGTCCATTTGTTAATACAGGGAGCAGAGGGAGCCAAGTAAATAGAGCTTGTAGGGAAGAGAGGAAAGGAGAGGAGAGGAGGGGAGAAGAGAGCAGGGGAGAGGAGAGGAGAAAGACTTTTTGGTGGTTAAAAAAAAAAGGGCAAACTACACTACCTTTGGTAATCATGCAGTTTGTCCTTTAGGATGTATTTTTGTATTTTTAGCATGCCCTGTCGTGGTGGCGGATTATGTATGCATGGTGGCATCCTGAGAGGCAAGAGGCACTACAAGGAATTTCACTTGCCACTCACCAGCTTTGATATACTTTCCTCCATCTCCACAACCAAGTAGCAAGCACTGCAGTAAAAACATTTAAAGTCATGCAGAGGGATTTCAATACCCATTTCTGAAAATAGACAGTTAACCTACCCAAGTACAGCATGGTATAAAATTATATGATATCCCAAACAACCACAGCCAGAGGAAGTCACAGCAATAAACACAACTTGGTGTCAATAAAGGGAAAATCCCAACACCTGATGCTGTCTCCCTGAGACACAGTGGGATATTTTTAAACTATGTGATCTCCCTCTAGTGGCCAACAGGTCAGTTGCTGAGCAGACAGTCTGCCTCCTTTAGTTTTACTGGAAAGTTGCTGTGTTACTTAGTCAGATATTTATAGTTTATGTTTTAATAATTTTTGAAATGTATCTAATTGTATGAGAAACTACTTAGCAATGTATGACTATCCAATATGCTCATGTGTAAACAATAAGAAAACAATCAATGGAATGAAACTTGGCAGCATACCTTTTCTTTTAGAATAATACCTCATTTAAGATGAGGGGATGTATCGAGTTAGTAATTACATTTCTGTACCTTAGATAAATTATTATTCATGTTTCCAAATACTCAGAATTACAGGTCATTAAGAAATACCACTGAGTCATAACAATCATCTCATGTCACATGAAGCTATACTCAAATCACTTCAGAATGGTGTTAGTCTGACAGTTTCCAGCTTCATGACCTCCACAGTGACATTAATGTCTTTTTCCCAAGATGGAGAATGAATAATGGGGATGTTGACCTGACAAATGACCGATACAGTATGGTAGGAGGAAACCTTGTCATCAATAATCCTGACAAGCAGAAAGATGCTGGGGTCTACTACTGCTTGGCATCAAATAACTATGGAATGGTCAGAAGCACTGAGGCAACCCTGAGTTTTGGATGTAAGTAATCACAGCTTTAATAAAGGATGAGTTTATTTGTGTGAGATGAAATTACAAGTGTTTTAATTATTGATAAAGGTCTATATAAATTGGGGTTTGAATCTCTGATGATTAACTATCTCTATTTTTTCTCTTCCATTAAAATTACTTCTCCTATATAGATTGTTCAGAGGTAAAGTATAGTAATTACTCTTCCAGAAACACCAAGCTCAGTTCCCAACACCCATGTTGAGTGGCTCACAACCTTTTGAAACTCCAGCCTCATAGAATACAGTGCCTTTCCTCTTCTTGGGTCCATGGGTAGAAAGCAAACACACACACACACACACACACACACACACAACACACACAAATATCACACATATATTTCACACGCGCGCACAAACATACATGCACATGCACACACATAAATACAATTTAAAAATCTTATTCCTATGAATATGAACCTTAGCATTCCAACCAAAGTAGTGACACGGTGTGATTTATTAAAGAAGTCATGTCACTTGCTCATTTACAGGCAGTAGGTTGTTGTTGGTAAGACAAGTAACACACTTGTGAACATCCCAAATTAAAATATGGTAATTCGGAATGACTATCAAAACATATCAGCAAATACAACCATTAAGAGTTCTGCAAAGAGAAAAAACAAGAAAACAGGCTACTGGCAAGATGTGTGCCAGAGGAAATGCATTGTACAGGGTAGAGGGATTTGCATGGTAAGTTCAGCAGAGGCACAGTGCTATGAATGCTGTAAAGGTAATGTAAAAGAAATTAGGACCACGTTCTGAAGAATCTTGAATGTTTCTCTGCATTCTATCATCAGTGAATTGGTGCCAGTGTGATGGCCCCTATGGAGTGAGAATTAACTATTAGAAAAATATCTGAGATGTGCAGTGCCCTGTGCCTCTCCTAAGCCCCATCCCATCCCTGAAAATATCTGGCTATTCTTTTTTAACTTCTGTAGGTTGGAATTAGTTAAACTGTATTCTAGTTAATTGATTATCTTAAATTTGAATTAAGACACTTTTATTGGGGACAATAATGGAAAACAATAAATACTTGCTAAAATAAAAGTTAGAGTTTGTTCCAAAGGACACCACTATATTGGGAGGGGAGCTGATTACAGTAATAAATCTCCATTTTGTGATTTATGTCATGTTTTCAATCTTTGGTAGATACATTATAGGATGAAAACAATGTTTCAAGAAAGCAGATCAATCACTGGGAAGGGTGAGACAGGTCAAGAAACAATAATATTAAAGCAAAGATAGTTGTAGATAAAACACATCAAACTTAAAAAAGTCAGCACTTCCACTACATTAAAGTTTTTTTTTCAAAGAAAGCCAACTTAAAAGGCAAAAACATTCTCCCATTACTGAAGTGGAATGAGAGCCAGGAAAATGACTTTAAGGTGGGACTAAGCATATGAGTTTCTGTTCTACCACCAGAGATTAACAGAACTTTGCCAAGTTTATTTAAATGTCAAATGAGCAGGTGAGGCTGGAAAAAGCATTCATATGTCATTAGCACCCTGAGTCCACAGATGTGACTTTGAGCTTTCCTCTGGAAAAATATAACAGGGAGTGCACACAGATTTCCAGAGACAGGCAGTGTGCTTAGGGGAGTAGGAAGTAGGTATGGTTTGGGTGTGGACCACAAATGAAGATAAAGAGAGGCAGAAACTAAGCAGAACCAAATCAGTTTTAAAAAAATAAAAGGAAGTATCGAAGTACTTTAGGATCAAGAAAAACTGTGAGTTTTTAACACAGAAGGGGATGAAAAAGAGGTGGGGGGATGGGCCACTTTCCCGCTATCCAATTGGGGTCCATCCCTCAGCTCTTTTCACCGAGTATCCAAGGACTCGCTGGAAGGGTTAGGGTTGTCCTTCCTCTGTAGCTTGCAGCTCTCCTCGCGTCATGGCTGGCCTCACTGTGTTTCCTCATGGAGACTCTCCCTAACCTGAAATTAACATTTTCGGTTAGCTGCAACCATCACGGTTGTCGGAATTGTGCAGGCTGCTGTGAGTTCATGGCGGAACTGGATGGCACACACAAATCCCAGCTATGAAAACAAGCCACTTTGCACAGGTGTCCAGGGCCAGCCGAGCTCTGCCATATCGCGCAAACAAGTCACGGATAGATCACACTTAACAAATATCTCTTTCTCTTGAGCAGAGTGAACATTTCCCTTTTCCCTTTTGAAATCAGATCTCGACCCCTTTCCTCCTGAGGAGCGTCCCGAGGTGAAAGTGAAGGAAGGGAAGGGCATGGTGCTTCTCTGTGACCCTCCGTACCACTTTCCAGGTAAATGGAGTTGCTCCGACACCTAGGCGATTAAATGAGGACAGCTGAGTGTTCTAGTAATGATGATATGCTAATAACGACTTAATTTATCTAACAATCGTGGCCCATCGTTAATTTAACGAGACTCATTCTTTGTATTTGTTGTGTGAAAGTATCCTGGGGGAGTAAAACAGCCCACTATGGAAAGGACACTCACCTAAAAAAAAAGATTCCTCCCAAGACTAGCTTGGTGAACCAATGAGTTTAGCTAGTATCCCTTACAGGAACATGGGAGAGGTGTTAATTACATCAGCCTGGGCAACTTAGGAACAGTTTTCTTCAGCAGCCACTAACTTCCTATAAGATAATTATATGTTAGGAAGGGGTGGAACTTGTGAGCCTTGCCCCTAGAACATTAGGTGTACCAACCTCAAGAAGATATCATAAAGGTAAACACAGTCACTAAGAGTTCATTAGAACAATGGCTATGCCATGCCCATAGGACAGCCATCCACAATAGCATCCCTTTGCAGTCATCACTTACAAGTGGCTGCAGACTCTTTTCCATATGGGCTCCTTAGTCACTAGGCCCTATAGGTTTTTCTAGTCATTTCAGTTCATAAACAATAAGTATGTTGGATTTATACTTATTAAAGTTCCTATCACATAAGAGAAATTATGGAAGATAATTCCAGATATTATAATAAATATTCAGAAATAGAATAGCACTAAGGAATGATGTATGATCAATCAGTTTTTCCAATTTACTATCTGCAATATACTGTGAATTGCAACTAAGCACTAGAAAGGGATAAAGACATGATAAATTATTAATATTCTTTGAGTCACTGATCTATGAGAGTAATTGTGCACTTCAGAAAGGGAACAAAATTAAAACTCATCTGTTAAAACTTCAACTTGGAATAAACATTCCTTTCATTTGATATGGTTAAAATTAAGGCTACCATAATGTATAGTCACAGTCTTGTTTTCATTTGTTTTACTTCTCCTTTGACAATGAAATGGATGTTTTATGCTCTTTATATATTAAGTGTGACTTAAAACATACCCATAGAAAATGAAACAGAACATTTTGCTATAAGTAATTTTGTGTGAAATGCACCAACATTTTATGTCTTTATAGACATATATACATATATATTTCATACAGAATTATACACATATATTACTTGTAAAATTTCATGTATATGAAATTTCATATGTACATATGAAAATTGTGTATATATATTTCTAGTTGTTTATAAAATACTCAGTACTGCAAGAAATATAGCTATTTTGCTCACATATGGGACATGTTTCCAGTGTTATATCAGGATTCCAACAGAGTATAGGTTTTTGCTGGAGGAACTGCCAAAACCATGAGTAAATCCCCCTCCTCTTCATAGTATTTCCTACAAACAAGGCAATAGATGCCCATTGACTCCCTTTGCCTGCTCAACAACGGACAAGGAGCTCCACTGACTAAGAACACCACTGTGAGCACTTTCCCTCAACTAGACACTGCTTGTTTCACAGGACACACCAGTGGGAAAGAACAATAAAAACTGACAGCTCTCAGAGACCCTCTGCTGTGACAGGAGTACTTAAAAGATACAGGATAAAAGAGAGGAAAAGGAAAGTGTAGGGTTAATTTAGAGTTTAGAGAGCTCCTTGCTTGGAAGGGAATGTTACTAAAACCATAAGGAAGTGAAGGAGTGTAGCTGTAGTTTCTTGTCCTGCCATGTCCCACTGTCATGTCAGCCCCAAATAAATGCACAGAGACTTACAATAATTTATAAACTGTTGGCTGATAGCTAGGGCTTCTTATTATCTAGCTCCGTCTTAATTGTTAACCTATAACTACTAATCTATGTATTTCTACATGGCCTTATCTTACTAGAGAATGCCTGACATGTCCTATCTTCCCAGCCTCTACATGGCATCTCCCTCGGTCTCTCCCTGCTTACCTTTCCCAGAATTCTCATCTCCTAGTCCCACCTATCTTCCTGCCTCTATTAGCCAAACACCGTTTTATTCATCAACCAATGAGAGAAACATATACACAGAAGGACATCCCCCATCAAAGGAGATAATAGTATAAGTATCTAAGAGGACATTACAGGTGGTTGAGGCAACAACAGCCAGGACTGAGGTAGTACCATTGGCACAAAGCAAGCCAGGGGATGACATAGAGAGAAGTCAGAAATGTAATGTGAGTTCCAGGAACTGTGCTGTGAACGATCTTAGCATGCGTGTGTTTTTACACTTTCAATGAGGTTTACACTCAGAGTTTTGAGCAGAGGAACCATATGACATGAGTGGTTACTGTTTTAGAATAGTTACAGTAGCATTTTGCAAATGGTGCCTCACACCTTCACAAGGGTTGCATATCAGATATTTGCAATATGATTCATAACTAGCAAAATTAGGAGGAAATTCCTTTTTTCCCTTTGTCTGACATTTGATCATTATTTTTTGTTTTCTAAATTTATATGTGCTATATTGTGGTAGTTTGAATGTAATTGGGCCCATAACCTCATAGAGAGTGGCGCTATTGGGAGGCATGGGCTTGTTGAAAGAAATATGTCACTGTGGGGGCAGGCTTTGAAGTCTCTTTTGCTTAAGTGTCACAGTTCACTTCCTGTTGCCTTGTGACCAAGAGTAGACAGCACCACGCCCGTCTGTATGCCACCATGTTCTCCGCCATGATGATGATAATGATAATGTACAAACCTCTGAAACTGCACTCCACCACCTCAGTTAATTGTTTTCCTTTGTAAGAGTTGCTGTGGTCATGATATCTCCATGGAAATTGAAACTCCAGCTAAGACAAATATATTTTAGAATGATCTTTCCACTTCCCCAACCAATGCTGCCCAGATCCTCTCCACCCCCTACCCACTCAACTTCATATTCTCCCTCCCTTCCTCCCTCTCTCACTCCCCTCCTCTGTCTGTCTCTCTCCCTCATAACAAAAACAACAAAAAATCAAAACAAAAGATACCCCCTCCCCACAAAAGACAAAAGTAACAAAACAACAGGCACACACACACACACACACACACACACACACACACACACACAAACACCAGAATAGATTTTGTGTTTGTCAACTACTTCTGGACATGGAGTCTACACTGGAGTGTGGTTGATGTTCCAAGTGACAATAACATTCCATTGAAGAAAACTTATTCTCCCATTCCAATCAGATACCAATTGTAAAGACCCTTTTTTATGTGTGTGTGTGTGGGAGATTGGCACTTGGGTACCCTTCTCTTTCTTACTTCTTGGATTTTTTTTCCGATTTGAACCTATGCAGGTTCTTATATATGCCATAACAATCCCTGTGAGTTTATGTATGTATCAGCTGTCCTGCTATGGCTAGAAGACACTTTCTTTGGAGACATTCACTACCTCTTCTTACCATCTTCCTTCCTCCTCTTCTCCATAGACCCCTGAGTCTTGACAGGAGGATTTGATAAACACATCGTATTTAAGGCTGAATGCTCCAAAGCACCTTGTCTCCTTGTGGGACTTGGTGTTAGTTATCTATTACAAGAAGAAGCTTCTATGATGAGGGATGAAAGAGGGACTGATTTAAGTTTATATCACAATATCATTAGGAATAATTATATTTCTATGTTCCTTTACCAGAATATTAGTTATATGTTGTCTTAGGGTTTTTGTTGCTGTGATGAAACACCATGTCCAAAAAGCAAGCTTGTAATTAGGAAGCAGAATCTTCACTTTCAGAGAAGAGTTTAATATTTATCGGACAATAATTTCTTCTAGATGACCTTAGTTACCGCTGGCTCCTGAATGAGTTTCCTGTATTTATCACAATGGACAAACGAAGATTTGTGTCTCAGACCAATGGCAATCTCTACATTGCAAATGTCGAGTCTTCTGATAGAGGCAACTACTCCTGCTTTGTATCCAGTCCTTCTATTACAAAAAGTGTGTTCAGCAAGTTTATCCCCCTCATCCCAATACCTGAACGTAAGTGTTTTACTTGTTATCCTGTCTTTACAAAGTTATCTGTTTATAGTACATTTAAGGTAATGATCCTGTCTTCCTGGGGAGGGCAGCACATAGTGGATGCTGGATAGAAGACTTAGAGTTTACCTTCTGACGTTCATTTTTATTCAATAAAGTTACTCTAAAATGGTTGACTTCATATTCAGTGCTTCTTGCTTAGGAAGTATATGGAGGGTAGGCTCCTTAGTTCATAGTTGCTACAGAATTACCATAGGAATGTCTGGAATCTGCTTTGTGTTTCTACTTAATAGTAAAATTTTAATGAGACTAAATACTTATGTCAAATTGTTTTAAAGAAACGATCACATAATTAGAAAAAATGTTGATTATCTTAGGGAACTATTTACATGGTACAAATTAATGTAAATAATTGCTATTTCTGCTTTAAGTAAGTGATGTATATTTCTGTGACCTGTGCGCTGGGGTCATACTCCACCTCCATTTTTGAATCTTTAAGAGCTTGAGATGGCTTTATCTCATCACAGCCCTTGAGTTTCTCTTATCCCCTTAGCCCCAGCGCTTCCTCTACCTTGGCAGTAGTGAGTGCACTCTTCACAGCTGACCTGTTTGCTCCCTCCCTCTCTTCCCTGTGGGAAGTAACACTGGCATTCCATTTTCCCTTCCCTAGTAAGGGAAGAGTCACACAGCTGGTATTCAAATGCTGGCCTCACTGTTTCACAGATGTGGCCTCAGGAAAGGGGCCTTGGTTATCTTTCCTCCTCTGTTTCACAACTGTCCTTCCCCTCCATCTCCTACACATCCTCTTGCTGTCCTAGTGGTGGGCAGATTTCCCCTTCTGCAGCCAATCCCTTTGGTTGCTGTGTCTCACATCCCATTCGGATCAGGGCTTCACCAACTTACTTCTTTTCCTGTACTCTCTCAGAATCCCATCTTCTCACTCTGCATGTTCGATCCTATTCAGTGAAGGTCCTCTGGGATAATCGTATGAAAGTCATAGCTATTCAATCAAAAGATAGTTTTCAGTTCCCTTTTTGTTTTCAGTATTTGACAGCTTCCATCTGCCTCTCACAGATTTCCTTCTCTTTCCTCAAGACTCACCTCCCGCCTCTGGCAAGCCTTATACAGCATGAATCACCAGACCGTCCTCTGTCTCATATTTCTCTCCAGTTTTTTTTCTAGCTATTCTCGCCAAACTACACCTTTTCAATGGTGGTCATGTAAATGGATATAAATTCACATCTCTAATTTTTCTTGTTTTTTAGGTTTTAGTTATATCTTCATCCTAGACTGGTCCCATAAAGATCTCCAGGATGTCAAATGTTCACGGCATAACCCATTGCTGTTCCACAAAACACCCTCATCCTCCTAATACTCTTCAGCCCAATTGGCCGTGACTGCTCATGTTTCCTAACAAGTAGTATTTGCATGCATCAAGTCTCCCCTTCCTGGGATGTTCAGAACAGCTAACCCTGTGGCTTTTAATTAAATCAGTATGTGAGCCACCAGGGAGTTCTGAGAAAAACAGGAAATGCAGAGTTTGATTCCAGAAGCCTTATAGTTGCCAGCTAGGTCTCACCTAGACCCAAAGGCAAGCTCGAGATTACTCCTTTTGCCAAATCCCATTGCTATTTACTCACTGACAAAATTGATCTCAAAACTTCTAATACCGTGTTCCCTGGCCTTTTGCCTTGCACGCTTAGCTGACCTTTAGGTCATATATTTTAAAGTCCCTTCACTTCCTCCCTATTTTCTTTAATTCTCTGTACCAACACCATCTTGGAGCTTTGTCATGAACTGGTTCAATTCAGTTTCCATTGATTGCTCAATATTCCCCTATCCACTCTGAGATTCTGAAGTCCTTATTTGCTGAACGCTCTTTCAGACTGTTTTGTTTTTGCCTTCTGTATTATCATAGCATGTTTATTTGTTTATTTTTATGCAGTATAAAGCATACACTCATGCTTTGGTGGGTAATAATGCATTCAGCCCTTTGGAACCTTCTTCTATCATATTTTAGTACTGATACGCTAAACAAATGGGCATTAGCACTCTCAGAGTAAGAGTGGTGATATTATGGTAACGGCCTCTTTCTGTCATTTCTCTTGCTCTGTTTCCTTGGTTTCTGATGGCAATTATTCCATTTTCTCTTTGTGTAATCCACCAATTTTCTCCCTTTCTTCGTTTTCTTCCTTTCCATTTTTCATATTCCCATTGCTTTCTTCCTTTTCTACCTTTTCGAGTATTGTATATGTATTTGTAGCACAGGCCACAGTATTTTATCTGAATTTGAAGTCCCTTAATAAGACATTGAAATTCTGTAGTTGTATCAGAATGTGTGATGAAGTACATATTTGCACACATTGTACTTAAACAAACAAATTTACATATTGGGAAACAAACAATACCTATGTAGAGAAAAACTTCCATATTGGTCCAGTTCTAAACTAAAAAAAATTATGATATTAAAAAAGAAAAAAGATTATGAATAATATGTTATAGGTGTCTATGTTTTCTTTTTTATTAATTAGGAACAACAAAGCCATACCCTGCTGATATTGTAGTGCAGTTCAAGGACATATATACCATGATGGGCCAAAATGTGACTTTAGAGTGTTTCGCTCTTGGAAAGTAAGTATGCTTGTGCTTTTCATTGACATGCATAGAAGCAAAGTAGGTTTTATGTCTTTTCAGGAAACAAATGACATAAATGCTTAGCAGTAAATGCCAGGCAGTCTTCTTCAAACACTGTGGATCTTGAATTTTCCTATCTTCTCTTTCAAGCCCTGTCCCAGATATCCGGTGGCGGAAGGTGCTAGAACCCATGCCTAGCACTGCTGAGATAAGCACCTCAGGGGCTGTCCTCAAGATCTTCAATATCCAGTTAGAAGATGAAGGCATCTATGAATGTGAGGCTGAGAACATTAGAGGAAAGGACAAGCACCAGGCAAGAATTTATGTTCAAGGTAGATATTTTAATTTTCTATGAGTGCCATCAATGAAGAACTATCATAGAATGATTAATCATTTTAAATGATGTGGTATATAGTACATTATTTAGATAAACATTCAGATATTTACCTTATGTCTAACTACGCCACAACTCTGAGTTACAGATGGTATGAACTTCTACTTTTTATATCATGAATATAGTAATAGGTTAATAGTTGTTGATAATTAAAAAAACAATGTTGCTCATTTAATCTACTATCATTCTCTATTCTTCAGTACCTTTATTTAGATAAGAACTTATGCATTATGGCTTTGAGTTTGAGCCAGTGGTTTGCTAAGTTTTAATGTGTCTCAAAATTCCCCAAGGGGCTTGATAAAGTACTGGCTGTTGGGCTTCCTGTAGAATGTCTGACTCAGAAGGATATCGTGAGCTTCCGAGTATGTATTTCCAAAACACTCTAGATGCTCATGTTCCTGAAGCTAGATAACCCTGGTGTAAGGAATCATCACTTCTTATTTTAGCAAAATTATTTTGATGCAAGTCTTTTACCCACCAGAGTAAGCATACCATGGAAGAGAGGAAAAATTTTGGCAACTCTTGGAATTTCATTATTTCTTAAAATTTATTAAGTTTTATTTATGTGTATAGGTGTTTTGCCTGCATGTCTTTATGTGTATGGCATATATGTCTGGTGCCTGCAGAGGCCAGAAGTGGGTATTAGGTCTCCTGGAACTGTAGTTACTGATGGTTATGAATGCCGTGTGCATACTGAGAATTTAATACAGCAACAAGTGCTCTTAATCACTGAGCCATTTCTCCAGTCTCAGAATGTTAGAACTTCTTGAGGCTGTAGTCATCATTGCCACTTACCATAATATGAAATAAATAACTAGGTTTCAATTAATTCATTCTGATTTTTTGTTTGTCTGTTTGTTCAGTGACACGGTCTCTATATGTATCCCTGGCAGTCCTATAACTCCCTACCTAGACCAGACTGGCCTCAAACTCACAACAATCTACTTGCTTCCTTTACCTCCTGCTGTTTTGTTTTGTTTTTAACTACTCTGTTTAATGCTCTGTTTATCTTCTGCTAGTCTCTCACAAACATAAGTTTTGACAAAGTCAACTGAAGTCTAAACAATTTGTCTCCATATCCAACTGCATTCTCTCTTACTTCGCTCCACTTTGTTTTCATGAATATTTCTCTACTGGAACCCTTCTTCTATAATCACCCAGAATATCCTGTTGCTAAAGCTGATCATCCCTCCTCTCTATCTGATTAGACATGATAGCATCAGCAGCCACGCTTGATTCCCCCCCCCCCATACTTCACTTTCTGTTCTTGGCACCTGGATCCTACACTTAATTTACACATACCATTCTCATTTTCCCTTCAGAGTCCTCCTGTTCATTACCATTGTAACACTGAGTATCAGAGTCAGTAATTGAACTTCTCTGTATCCTTCTATGGTTTCATCCATGAGCATGATTGTAAAAATCTACAGCCTTGGAGATCTACAGACTTGAATATCCAATGACTCAACATCATTAACATGACATGTAACAAGTGTATATGGAATGGCTTCTAGGCAGGGAACCCTTGAATGTCTTGAGTAATATTACTACTTTTGTACTGGGTCTATCTATTATACATAAGGTTTCAATACACTTAAAAAACTTCACTCCAGGTTCTCAGCAGAGTAAAATTCTGAACTGTCAAATATCTAAGGTCTTAAAAGGACCAATGTGATAGAGCAGGTAGGTATTTGTATGAGGTCATTAAAAAATAACTTCATTTCTCCTTTACTAGTAAGGTATCTTAATTTTTATCTGTATGTTTAAGCAAACTATCTTCAAAAACTTTATAATGAAACCACAAACAGACTTCACTGAGGTGATTCAATTATTTATTCTTATCACTGTATTATGTATTATAACATCTATGTGTCACCCTGGGGGACCAAGGTAGCAAGGATGTCATTAAAATATTGAAGAGATGCTGTACAAAATAAAACGTGTATTAAACTAACAAATTCACCAGCATCCAATTTCTGAAAGCTCCTCTCATGTGTTACAAACAAATGTGGGGACAACAAGAAGCTAAATCAGATTGACACTGTATAGTATGCATAAAGAGACACATGTTTATCTGTGTACTGGCTTAATACTGATAGCCAGAAAATATTTTATGATTTCATATATGTGTATGTGTGTATATGTTTCTAGTAAGTTGTGTATAATATTTTCCAAGGAAATTGATATAACACAAGGTTTAACTTTCAATAAAAAGGAAATAGTCCTCTACGCTAAGAGTTCTCTGTTCCTTTTCTTAGTTTATAATATTTACTTACATTGACTTGGGCTGCTTAGATAACTGAAATACTTAACAAGACTGATTTTTTTTTCATGTAGGAAACATTCTTTTTTCTTCGAGGAGATTTCTACCATCTCTTCATTTTTTTACAACAACTAAGTAGATAAAAATAAGAACTGAGATTGAAGTCCAAGTTCATTTCACTTGAGCAAGAGTTTCCCCAGGGACAGCTACTAAAGGAGCTGTTGTATGAAGTGTGTTAAGTTGCCCAGGTCATTGTTATAGCTGGAGCAAGATGCTAGATCGGTCAACACACAAAGGCTCCATTAAGAATATAGTACGTAATGTGGAGAAGGTAGGAAGTCCCAAATTTTCATCCAAAAGGTGAATGAATATATATTATACATAAGATGCTTCAGAAGTTAAAAGCACTCCCTGTTTTCTCATAGCACCAGAATTCCATTCTCAACCCCCATAGCAGGTGGCTCCAAGTGCCTATAGCTCCAGCTCTAGGGGACCCAATGCCCTCTGGCCTTTGGGAGCACCTGCATGAATATGGTGCACATGAGTCATGTAGGCACACCACATAAATAAAAATTATCTAGATGCATAATTACTAACTAAATTAGTCATGATGCTCCATAATAATATATGGTTTTTGTAGAATACAGACCTGTATAAACATACAATATCCTATATATTTGTCAGAATAGAGTTAATAAAATGAAAAATTTAGACTCTTGAGATTGTGATGGGTACTGAGACATAATGTTCCTTCGTTGCAGCATTTCCTGAATGGGTAGAGCATATCAATGACACTGAGGTGGACATAGGCAGTGACCTCTACTGGCCTTGCGTGGCCACAGGGAAACCCATCCCTACCATCAGGTGGCTGAAAAACGGGTATGCGGTAAGTATGCTGATGTGTCTTGCTGTCCCTGAATCTGTGTTCAGGCAGTCACAGGCCAGTCACTAGACTAAGGGTGCTTGGGCCCTGAAATACAAATCTTCCTTGAGAAACAAAACTATCTTGTTTCAGTTTCAACAGCTTTCTGTAATGGTCTCTTTACCTCTCTCTCTTTTTCCTTATTTTTCCTATGCTTCACTTTCCCCCTTCCTATTGAACCATGTCCACTCATACTGTCCCCTCTTTGCCACTGTTTCCCTGACCCCCACAGAAACAGAGGTAAGAGAGACGCGCTAAGTCCTATCTTAGCCTTGGGACAAAGGACAGCAACAGGGTCCTTCTCTACCTTCCCACTATAATCTCCCAGCTGGTCCAAAGGGGAAAAGGTGGACTCTCAGCTCTGTAAGATGAATAGAACAAGAGCCACTGGGCATGGTAAGTGGGTTGGTCTTCTCGATGCCATGAAAACCACCCCAGTTTGTGCATCTCAGCAGCAAATGGGAGTGGATAAACACAACATAGTTCAAGTGTTAACCTCTAGCTGAATGGAGAGTTTCCGTCCATGTTCCTCAAAGCCATGCGATTTCTTTTACTCTTCAGTACCACAAAGGGGAACTAAGACTGTATGACGTGACTTTTGAAAATGCTGGGATGTACCAGTGCATAGCGGAAAACGCGTATGGCTCCATCTATGCAAATGCCGAGCTCAAGATCCTGGGTCAGTATCCTTCCCAGTTCCTTATAGGTGCTTATCAAACAAGCAGCATATAAAACAGTGAAAGAATATCCATAGCTCACATTCAATTTCACTTGGCTTTTATTAGATGTGCAGCTCAAGTTGGCTGCCTATTTATAAGCTCCCAGTTATGAAAATTCAGACTAACGTATACATGAAATAGACTAAATATTAGCTGTAAAAAGCAACTGCTCTTTTGAACTGAGATGATGTTATTAAATTATTAGACAAAAAGTTATGGATGAAATGCCCATGAACTACAACTGATTATTTGTGTTGTAATAAGAAGTAGCTCAAGAGAGAAAGACGCCATGCCACACAGTTCAAGCAGATGGGTTTTATTTTATTAAGGGAAAAGGATTGTAAAAAGGGAAAAAGGGGAGGGGTACACTGATCTCCAGGGACAGAAGCAGCAAGAAAGAGGAAAGAGAGGCAAAGGCGGGGCTAGGGGTGGGGGGGTGAAATAGACAGAGAGAGATAGGGAGAGGGGGGGGATGGGAAGTGGGCAGGGCCCTTTACAAAGGGAACATATTGAATAGGCACAGGTGGTACTCTTAGTGGCAGCAGCTGAGGGTGTATCTTGTCAGAACTCCAAAGGCAGGCCAGTAAAATGCCTAAATAGTAAAAATATGTACCTCAGTCTTTCCTATTGATTACTGATCTATAAAAGAAGCTACAATCCAGAAGTAATAATTGGGTTTGTTAGCAAAAAGAGAATGATAATCCTTTGTTTACATTGTAGCTTTAGCTCCGACTTTTGAAATGAATCCTATGAAGAAAAAGATCCTGGCTGCTAAAGGAGGAAGAGTTATCATTGAATGTAAACCCAAGGCTGCACCGAAACCCAAATTTTCATGGAGCAAAGGGACTGAGTGGCTTGTCAACAGCAGCAGGTCAGGCCAGACTGGGATGGAGTTGCCGTTCACTGGCTCCTGAGCTCTTACAATGTTGCTGTGCTTAGTGTCTTTAAGAATTTAAAGTCAGCCTAGTGGCTTCCTTATGGAGTTTCCAAGTTCAATTTTTGATTACTGCTTTAACTCATGAACAATTCAGTGTCAACAATCACTTTATAATAAAGTGTTCATGTGCAAGAATTTTTGAACATTGTAAATAATATATAATTAAATATTTGTATTTGTAAATGATAAATACAAATTGAATTGTTCAGTATTAAAGTCTGAACAGTAGTCATTAATAATAAATATAATATATTTGAATGAATAAAGCTATAAAAACTTGTCCAAAAATCTAATTACTCTTGTGTCTGCAGAGTGCCTGTTCCATTTTCATGCTATATGAGAAAATATATGAAGGAATAAGTATAGCAAGTATGCACAGCGGGTGCATAGTCATTTGTCATTATTGAGAGCCATGCGGTACCCAAGATTATATGTACTACAATTTGTAGGCTGGCAGGGTAGGTGGTCTTTGGTTCCCGTATCCACAAACCTGACCAGTGCCTTGCTTGTGATGCTACACGGATATAGCACCATTAGCTGAAAGGAGATTTAAGGTTGCATTACAGTCTTATGGAGCTTATGTGTAACCCTGTCACTGAGTAAAATCACTGACTGAAATGTAGTGTGATATAGGACTCTTTGAACGTGATAAAGATCAATTTAAAGCATACAAATATACATGTCATATGTATAATGTATCATATATAGTAACATATATAACATATACTGTATCATACATAGTAATTTATATGATATAGTAATACATCTTGTATATTATATAGTAATATATTATATGCTATATATCATTTATAGTTATATATGATATATATAAACTAAAATTACTACGGGTTTTATAGTAAAAATGTCATAGCTTTTCCACTGTTGACTGTAATTTTTATTTCTGTGCAAAGTATATTAAATGAGGGATGGCTAGAAGTTTGACAAGTACTTGAAGTGATAGGAAACATTAGTATCTGTACTGTGATAACATGTACAATGAGCCCAGTGCCAAGACTGGATAAGCCATCTGAGAGTGGCATTTGTTAGTGGCAATGTCTAGGAGAGAAAGTAGAGATGGAGCTGGGTGAAGGCTGGAGAAACAGTGGATGAGATTCAGGTCCAATTTCAACATGCAGAGTGTGAAGGAAGGCAGAGAGCTTTGAGTGAACGGACTTGGGTTCTGCACAGTTGGACGAGACAGCGATAGGGCCCTAGTAAAGTGCTCGGGCTGAAAGTGCTTCGAAGAGGAGTTTCACGTCCACAAGAGTCAGCACTCATTGCAAAGTCCCCAGATTCCCAGTCAGAGTGGTATCAGGCTGTGGTCTGGGGCCTTTACAAAACACAGTGACCGGGGCGTGGGACAGTGGCTTACTACATTTCTTAACATTTGGAGAAAGAGACCTGGTTTTGAATCCTCTTTAGCAACAAAGAAACACTATGCTATTTGAATGTTTCCTTTCCAATTTTGAAAGAGATTCTGAAATACACTGTAGGTTAGAACCGGATAATGAAAGAGAAGGGAGGGAATCTTATGACACATTGGAGCAGGATTTCAACATTGATTAGTAAAACAGAGATATTCTGATGTTTTGTCAGACCGTCCTTAAAGAGAACAAATAGTATGTTGTTTTTGAAAACTGTGGAAGATAGAGTTTAGAAAATGATTTAGTTTTTAAAAAGTACAAATGACTGAATATTTAATATTGGATTTATGTATAAGAAAATACAAAATAAGAGACACATAGCCAAACATTGGGCCAAGCTCAGGAAATCCTGCTAAAGAGAGGGAAGACAGACTGTAGCAGCCGGGGGGGGGGGCGTGTGTGTGTCAAGGACATAACAAAAAAAAAAGACGCGCAGAAACAAGTAACCCAGGATCATAGGAGCACAAATGAATCTGCCTTAGGGACCTAGCAGTCATCTAGGAAAGTAGTGAACTCAGCTTCTCAGCTATCCGTCAACGTTGAGAAGGGACATCTGAAACACAGGCTAGACTGTTTATGCTTGAAATGTCTTACCAAGAAACTGGTATACAATGGAATGTTAGCATTGGTGATGCAAGTTCAATATTAATGCATGTTATTAAATGAGTTTTGTGAATTGTGTGTTTTTTAATTTTATAGAATACTCATATGGGAAGATGGTAGCTTGGAAATCAATAATATTACAAGGAATGATGGAGGAGTCTATACATGCTTTGCAGAAAATAATAGGGGAAAAGCCAATAGCACTGGGACTCTGGTGATCACAAGTAAGGAATCTTTTGATATTTGAAACGTGTTTTCTTTAAGTGATGATGCTTTAGTTTCACAGTATGACATATATGTCATTCAAAACTAAGCCTCTAATACAGTCAATGTAGTGATGTTTCCTTTTCAGAAGCCTTCTGGGTAAGGTTTTGCCTCTGAGGAATTGTTACAGATGTGAAAACATCCTCTTACTATGCAGGGAGGATCAAAATATATTGTTTTTATTCCTTTTAAAAATCGTTTTATTGAGTTTGTTCTTTTACAATTTTACACATGTGCACTCTGATTGAAATAGCCATCATTTCCAATACCCTTCCCACCCGTTATCTGCTTCCTCTCTAAAAGTCCCCTTCTCATTCTAACAGCTTAGTCACGTTACTGTGTTAAGACCCACTGAGTTTAGCCTGTGTCATCTGTGTGAATATGGTTTTGGATCTTTACCTGTTGGAACATGATAGGCATCTCAAGTGGACAATCATGGCCCCTCTTCCAGATCCCATCAGTAACCAATAATTACACAGGGAGCGGGTGGGCCCCATAAGCTCAGGCTTGCGTAGCCTCACTGTAGACCATGACAGCTGCTATGCCATCATGACTGCCTTGGCTCTGTCATGCCCAGAAGACAGCACTTCAGAACTCTTCTATCATTCAGCGCTTCATTCTTTCCAGCTTTTTGTCAAGGCATTCTCTGAGCTTTAGAAAGCATAGTATAAATATTCTGCTTAGGGGTAAGCAGTCAACTGCCACAAGCATACCATAATTGCATAAGTGGGCACATCTTCAATGATATTGTAGGCCATAGAGCTTATGGCTGGGTAAGACTGTTGATGCCTTATCTCTTCCAGCACTCTACATAGCATCTTGTAGCAACATGAATGCTAGGCAGCAGGCAGAAAACTTCCAGGCTCAGTTCCAGCTTCATTTCTCCATAGCTTGCAACTAAAGTATGTGTTAATTTTGTCCATAGGCCTTGAAAACTAGTTATAGTGACAAGGAACCTGTCTTATTTGGGAACCTCTGGCCCATGCAATAACTCATCAAGAGGTTTTCCCTACCTGCCACTATTTCTTGTTTAGCCACCCTTGATTTTCAGGACTAGCACTCTCTAGACTGAAAGGATAACTCCTCTTCTCTTCTCTTCTCTTCTCTTCTCTTCTCTTCTCTTCTCTTCTCTTCTCTTCTCTTCTCTTCTCTTCTCTTCTCTCCTCTCCCCTCCCCTCCTCTCTATTACTTCTCCTCTCCCCTCTCCTCATTCCTCTCCCCTCCCTTCCCATTCCTTCCCTTCCCTTCTCTTCTCTTCTCTTCTCTTCTCTTCTCTTCTCTTCTCTTCTCCTCTCTTCTCTTCTTCTTTCCTATCTCTTTAAACTCAAAACTCTTATTTTTTAACTAGTATGTTTTGTATATATTTTTCATAGATCCTTAGCTTTTGTTGACTCTTTATACATTTCCATTTGCCCCATCTTTCAAAATCCATCTCTGACTAGCCTTTCCACTCCCTAAATTTCTTCTATTTGTTTCATATCACCTGTGAAATTCTATCCCCTCTCCCTCAATGGTCCTTTTCTGGTTTACTCACTTCAACAGATACCCTAATTTAATCATGAAAATCTAAAGATTTGAAACTAGGAACTACATATGAGAAAATGCATATGTTTTTTATCTTTTTGAGCCTGGGTTACCTTGCTCAAGTTTTTTTCTTAGTCTCACCATTTCAGCTAAAAATCTCATGTTTTCATTTTTCTCAGTAGCTGAACAAAATTATGTTGTATGCATGCACTACACATTTATTATGCATTCATCAGATGGTGGGCAGCTAGGCTGATTCCATTTCCTAGCTGAAGAAGCAATGAACATAGTTATGAAAGTATCTTAGGAGAAGAATGTAAAGCCCCTTGGGTGTATGCACAGCAATGGGCTAGCAAGGTTGTATGAGAATTCTAGTTCTAGCTCTTTTAGGAGCCACTGCACTTATTTCCATAGTGGCTACCATACAGTAAGTAAGAATTCCTTTGTATCTACATTTTTGTCAACATTTGTTGTCATTTGATTTGTTGATATAGCCATTCTGACTAGGGTAAGATGGAATTTCTTAATAGTTTTAATTCTCATTTCTCTACTGACTAAAGATGTTGAACATTTTTGTTTATCATCCATTTTTATTTCTCTTGATGGTTCTCTTCAAATTGATGGCCCCTTTTATGGATTGGGTTATTTTCTTGATGTTCACTTTTTTAAGTTCTTTATTATGCTAAATATTAATCCTCTGTCAAACTTATATTCTGTGGGCTTCCTTTTTGTTCAATAAATGGTTTACTTTACTGTGTAGAAGATTTTAGTTTTAAGAGATCTCATTTGCCAATTATTGGTCTCATTTCCTGTGCTGTCAGAATTCTATTAGAAACTATTTCTTATTTCTATTTACTTGGAACACCCTGTTTCATCATTTCAACATAGGGTAGAGTCTGTCTTTGATAGGGAGGGATTTCTCAGAGATAGAAAAATGATGGATATAGCTTTCTAATCCAGTCTGCACACTTGTGTTGTTTGGTTGGGAAGTTGAAATAATGGATATTCAATGTTATTATTGAAAGATGTATGTTGGTTTTTGTCATTGTCAATCTTGTGGTTTTTCTTTTCTTAGTCTTTCTCTTCTTAACCACCGACCTAACATTGTTAATTTTCCCTTATAGTCTCTTGAATATGTTTATTTTTCTCTTCAGTCTAAGGTAAGGAATACTATTCTCTGTAGGGTGGCTTGGTGATAATAAATAATTTTAGCCTGCTTTTCTTTTTCTTTCAGTCATGATCAATAATCTTAGTGGGTATAGTAGCCTGCATTGACATCTGTGACCTTCCAGAACTTGTAGGACATCAATCTACGTCTTTTAGGCTTTTAAAAATCTTCATCAAAAGATTAACATCCTTAGAATTGATGGATGTGATGTGCCTTTATATGTGACTTAGTGTTTCTTTCTTGGATCTTTCAACACCCCTTCCTTCTTCTGTACATTTAGAGTTTTGACTCTTTTTTTTTTTCTTTTTTCTTTTCTTTTAATTTTAAATAGCTGTTTTACATGTCAATCCCAGTTCCCTCTCCCTCCCCTCCTCCCTCACTCCCCTTCCCCCCCCAGCCTCCCACCCTATTGCCAATTCCTTCCACATAGGGGATATCTAGAGTCTGTCATTTCACTCTGGGTAAGGTCCATGCACTCCCCTAAGAGACCAGGCTGAGAGAGCATCCCTCTTTGTGCTATGGGCACATGATGACTGTTTGTATTCCAGGGATAGACACTAATCCACAGCTCAGGGCCCCTTAGGTTGCCCAGGCCTTCGGATTTCTTTAAGATACTATTTGGCTGTTTGTTTGTTTGATTAATTGATTTGTGTGCTTCTTTCATCTGAGTGCTCATCTCTTCCCCTGAAGTTCAGAAATGTTCTTCTATTAGTCTTTAAAAATATGTTCTGTTCCTTTAACATTCATTTCTTCTCCTTTATTCACAATTTATAGATTTGGGATTTTGGCTAGAATTCCTTTCTAGAGGGGATATAAGCAACATCTTCCCCTTCTGAGAGCCTAGTGATAAACTGAAGCATGGTTCTGCCAAAGTTCTCTCTTGGGAACCAATGCTTATTGAGCTCCTTAGAGAGCACATGTGAGAAGTTGCTTGCAGGAATGTGAGTGCTCCTCCCCCAACAGGCCACATCTGAAAAATCTTTACCTAACAGGGGTGAGGGCTTCCCATAGCTGCATAGATGGATTCCCCCTCCCTAGTTTTTCCAACATATAAACCTAGTCCCCCTATCTGAGCCACATGCATTTAAGGCAAGGATATGTGTAACAGGAGATAGGGAGCTGATAAATACTCAGGAGGTCTCATGATGTTCCCCAGCCCTCTATGAGGGGTAAACATAGTCAACAAACTGAGTACCAATAATCATTTGCAAGCTATAAGACGGGAACTACTTAAGACAGAGATCACTTATCCCAGAGGACAATCACTCACAACAGGGCTTTATATACTCCCCCTAATACTTTGCATTATTTTGTTCATGGGTCTTTAAAAACTTAGTATTTTATTTGGCTGAGTAATCCAGTTCCTCTTCCTTATCTGATAGTCTATCTTCTGCTAGATATATTTTATTAGTGAGGCTTTCCACTAAAATTTTTAATAGATATACTGAAGTTTTCATTTTAAGTTTTATTTTAGTTTGGGGTTTCTTCAGTACTTATATCTTTCTATTGAATTATATTTTCATATGTCCTGACTCATTCTCATTATTGTATTCAACTGTAATTTATTGACTTTCATTTTAATATTTACTTGTGTCCCCTTTGAGCTCCTTAAACATATCCATAATTGTTCTTTTGAATTAATTGTCTTGTCATCTAAGTTGGTCTCATTTGGGATCATTAATGTGGATTTAAAAATTTTTGGAAGAGGTATTTCATGTTACTTGGATTGTGTGTGAGTATGTGTGTGTGTGTGCGTGTGTGTGTGTGTGTGTGTGTGTGTGTGTGTGTGTGTGATGGGCCTTGGAAATCTGTAGTTAGATTGTTGGTTGTATCTTTTGGAATAAATATCTGGCCAAAGTTTTTTGAATGGGCTTTGGGATCTGAAGTTATTAGCACCCTTAAACCGCATTGTCGTGTTTTGGAAGAGCAGATTGGTACTTGAAGTTCAGTCTGAAGGCCACCTAGAGCTTGTTCATGCTGGATGGCAAAGGTATGAAGATGGCAGGGTTTCTACAGTACCAGACAATATGATGCCTCATGTTGTATTTAAATGTTATCTACTCTTTTTTATTTCAAAACATGCAGATCCCACACGAATCATTTTGGCTCCAATTAATGCTGATATCACAGTTGGAGAAAATGCTACAATGCAATGTGCAGCATCCTTTGATCCTGCCCTGGATCTCACATTTGTTTGGTCCTTCAATGGCTACGTGATTGATTTTAACAAAGAAATTACACATATTCATTACCAGAGGAATTACATGGTATGTGTTTTTTATTTCATGTTATTAATATTCCAATGGTTCTTATATGCCTGCACTAAAACTTTAGTTATGAGTCAGAGAAATAGCTTAGCAGGTAAGTAGGTCTCCAAGCCTCTGGACCTGAGTTTAATCCTTGGAACCTACATAGCAGAAGGAGGTGATCAACTCCCAAAAGTTGTTCACTGGTGAAAATGTGGCATGTCTTACACACACAACCACGCACACACACACACACACAAATAATTCATTAAAAATTCAGAAATACAATAGTATCTTATGAGATTTTAATTTTTAATGGGATGGCATTCTTATAGAAAGCTTTTAATTTTTATTAAATTAATAGTGGTACTCTGAAACATTTGTAAAGGGCTAGTGTTAAAGAGTTTTGTAGAGATATTTTCAAGCATTTACTCATCTCTAGGTTTATTTTACTTTCCCATTATATGATTCTTGTATTGATGTGAACTTTAAGCTATTAAATTTGTAGCACAAGTCCCAGCAATTTCACTCTAATTCCAATGAGAGAAAACATTGAACTTACACCAGGTTGTAATGGTTGTTTTCAAGTTATTTATTTTATTCTGTGCAGGAGATAAATAAACGAAATATATCTGTCTCAAGATTTGAACAAGTCTGTGTGGTTTGAAAAGATTGATGGGTTAATTCTAAGAATTGAAAACTGTACATTCCATAAACCTTGTAAATTAACACATCAACTAGAGAGTAGAGAGAACGCTGGGAAGTAATGCAGGGAATTGACTTCCACAGGGACAAACTGGCCCCACTCGTTGCTTCCATCTCCTTCCTGGAAAGGTTACTAGTTAGAAAATTGTATGTCTGTTTTGGCACATGCCCTCAATTATGAAGATGTGTTGAGAATGGGTTTTATGTTAGTAGAAGGAAACCAGTATAGGACACAGAAAACAAGGAGGTGAGAGACATAATCAAAGTACAATGAATATATATATATATATATATATATATATATATATATGAAATCCTTATCTAATGTTTAAAATTATAGAAACAAAAGCAACCACAACAAATGAAAATATGCTGATCTGGTACACAAGCCTTAATCCTCAGCACTTGGGAAGCTGAGTCAAGAGAATCTTAGATTCTTAAGACTGCAGGCCAGCCTTGGCTACATAGTGAGTTCCTGTCTCAAGAAACAAACCAGATGCAAACAAAAAAGGGAAAAGCAAAACACTAACTTCAAAATCAGCTATTGATGTCCACAAAATCAATTTATTGGGATACTTTAGAATTTTTACATCATGTGAAATCTAGATTAATATTTGTAAATTATAATAGCATTATACTTCAGGTTGGCCAGTTGCCTGTACTGCAATTGTCTGGGGCTTCTTTTTCAGGTCGAGTAAGACTTTCTTTACTTAGACAGGGACATTTCTAGATATATGCACAGCATTCACGACTCTCTCAGTATTTATGTATATACCCCTGTGTGTTCACTGTAAAGTCCAGGTATTTGCAATTTGCTAGGACTAGCCATCATAACCATAAATCAATAGTAAACCTGTGAATTTGGTTTTGGAGCCAAAACTTTACTTAAAATGAACACAATTGACAGAGAACAACAGATTTTATGTTTTGATCTTTTAAGTCTGAAACTTCTATGATGTTCTTAATGTAGATTTGCCTATCATTAATGAAATTTGCACCACAGTCTTTATCAATTTAATAGTTCTTTATATTATTTGTAGGTTTTATTGAAAGATAAGTCTCCCGTTTTTATTGATTTTAAGGAATCTTAAAGAGAGAAATGAAGTTCTGACTTAATTTATAAGTTTGGTGTTATAAATTTAATAATTTCTGACCTACCATATGGAAAGATGATAAGAAGAGCCTGTAACAGCTGTATAACTTACTAGCTTCAGGGAAGTCTGTAGAAATAGATTTGAGGGCATAAATTACCCTAATTGTGGGGCAACTTCACATTTAGAGCCTAGGTACATTTATTAAAATGATAGTTACCCAATTTTATTTGAAATTAACATCCACTATATGAAAAAACAGAAAAAATGAGAAAAAGAAATAGGAGAGGGAAAAAAGACCCCAGGGATTGCAAAAAGGAAGGACTAGAGAGATGGTAGTTATGCTACAGGAAAACAATGAGAGCATAGGTGGGGAATGAGTTGCTGAGACTATGTCTGCTCTCTTTGCAAATGATAGTCACAGACGGCCAGTAAATAGCTGGCCCTGGATTGGTCGCAGAGTGTTTGCTAGCTGTGGGCACCATATGGGGATTCCTCAACTCCAAGGGTTTCCATAAGCTAACAGATAAGTCAAAACTGTATTTGTTGGTTAAATATGATACACCACTGAATCACATTAGCAATGTTCATTACTGGCACTTCAATGACATATTAATGAGTTGAATTCTTTAAGAAAATACAATCTCAGTTTAAGAATGATTATTATAATTAAATGTATTGATTTCTTCTACATCCCAAGTGATCAGAGCAATTCTCTTTTAAACCTCCAAAAGTCCAGCAAAGGATTCTTGGTGTCTTTTCTTTTCAACAAAAAATCAGGGGCAAACTAAGTGACGTTTAAGTGAAGGCCTCAGAAATGAGTGTAAGCCGTCATTCAGAGACAGTCCTCATGTCTAGTCCCAGCTTCAGCGTTCGCTGTAACAATTTCCACCTGAAGCTTAGAGGGTGAAAGCACGGTGGTGGTAGGGATATCAGTAGGGAGGAAAGGGCACAGGTGGCTATTATTATCTTATCTCTTTGACTGTCTCTTAAATAATATTTGAATTTTTTCTTAATTTGGGGGAACATTTTAATAGAGGGATAGCATGAGTTGGCTTAAAACTATCTGGTGCACCTATGCTGTGCACTAAGTCAACTAGAACACTCAAAAGCAAAGACATGTACAAACTCAAAAAAAAAGAAAAGAAAAGAAAAACAAAACAGAGATGCTCTGAGTCTAGAATTCCACAATAACCATTATTATAATGTTTCAACAATTATTACTGCCAACAATGAATAATAGAAGTGGTTATCACTAAAAATAGTCTAGATATAAAATTTAATTTTTATTACATGAATTTTCAATTCCAATTTAATTTAAAAAAATCATTTAAAAATCAAGCCTGCTGTGAGTCCAGCTTGCTGTTTCCACTTTCGACCACTATGGGGCAGCATTGTGCAAGGTTTCAAGATTCACAGCCTGGACTAATTTAAGCATCAACCTTTAAGGAATGAAGCAAATGCATCTGATCATATTTACCAGCACATTGTGACATGATGAGCAGTACTAAATACCACTGTGATTCTTTTCTCTGTGGAGTCCCATGGGTACCAGGAGGAAAGTAGCAAGGCATTACTGTGTTCTTCTTGTAATCATTTAGGTTGTCACTGAAACAAAAGGACAAATAACACTGTCCTATCATTAATGCTATTACTCTATGTAATACTTTGCATTATCTGCTATAAATTTAGTTAAAACTCACTGGATATTACGCTTCTTGTGCTAATGGCTGGTAAATGTTTTATTTGTGCTTGGACAAACTTCATGTCTAGATAAAATATTAATAAATTAACAGTTTAATACAATAATTGATTAAAATAACTTATCTGCATTTTAATGTTCTACTAAGGGTTAGAGGCAAATAGTTATCTATTTTCAATATCCAGTTATAAAATTACTTCTATTTTTGTTTTCTAATTTAACAGCACTTACTTTCTGAAAGTAAACATACAACTAAAATTAATTTAATTATGTTATGTTATAACCCTTCTTTTTCTAAAAAGAACTTGAGGTTATCTATCCAGATTATATATGTATATACATATATTTATGTAATATGAACACGATGTACTCATATATGTGTCATTTTATCCTTCATTCATGGTGGCAAATGATGAGCAAAAATTATTTTTCATTGCTGAATAATTTTATAAACTTGTGCTATACGTATGTTTGTGAGTATGGGAACACACATGCTCTGGCACACTCAGATGTCACAAGAGAGCATTCAGGAGTGAGTATCACCTTCTACCCTAACACAAGGGCCCTTGCATTCAGGAGTGAGTTTCACCTTGAGACAGGGTCTATTGTTTTCTCAGATGCGCTGCATACTGGCAGCTAGCTGGCCACCAGGCTTCTGTCTGGTCCTGTGTCTGTCTACCACCTCACTCTAGGAATACTTGTCTGAAAGAAGCCTGGCGCTGTGTGTCTTTTTATGGGGTTCTAGGGAACAAACTAGGCACACCAGGCTTGTGTGGCTAGTGCTTTTACTCACTGAGACACCTCCCTGGCCCACAGCTCCCAATTTTGACAATTTTGGATCATTTTCCTTCACTTGTTTGGCGGCATACTCATTGTCACTGTCACTAACTGGATTAAGCACACCAGGTTCGTGGTATCTTGCTGATTTCTTTCCTATAATGGTGAAAGTCTCTACAGGTTTGATAAAAATTCAGAGATACTATCTGAGTTTCTCAGTGGTCATTTTTACACCTTTACACTATACCATTTTACACCTGCTCTCTACCCATCTTTCCACCTTATAAAATGCTACTTTGTAAGGTTTCTAGAACCAAGTTCTTCAGAGCACTTTTATAAGGATAATTGGATGCTTGGGAAGTACTTGATAATGAATAGAGTAACCCTTACTGACTATTTTTTGATAAACTTCATTACAGCAATTGCTTGCCACTTAAAATTCTGTAAGTTTATTTTTCTCCTTTCTGTTAACAGATCTCATTATCAAAATTTAAATCTGGGATCACTTAACTGGATACCAAGTTTGAGATGAAATATTCTAGGTATTTGGTACCTAGAATATTTAATGTAATACTGCTTAGTCAGTTTGACATGTGTTTGTTGCTATTGTGAATGTCTCAACTTTAAAGGTAGGAAAACTGAAGATTAGACAGATGAAATAAATCAAAATCCATAAGCCCAAAGTGCTGGTGTTTTGTTGCTGCTCCTGCAATGTCATCCATTCTGGTTGTGATATAATATTAATGTCTATGTCTACTTTAATAATTTTTTACATGTTGGAAACACAGGAAGACAGTATTCTTCAACTCATATTTTATTATGAAATCTTGTTTAATGACACATTTACACTAATATTGTCCACATTAATTTTATCTTCAGACACTGGTTGCATTATAAGGCAAGTCCAACCTACACAGCATCAGGTCTAAGTATAAAGTTAGTGGGGGATCCAAAAACATCTCCTTCAGGATTTTAGGGAGTGAGGTTTTATCTGTGTGTTTGCAGGTGTGAGAATGTGCATTGGCTGCCAGTGTGCTTTCAGGAGTGAAAAATGTGTGTTGCCTGTGATCATCACACCATACTGTTAGAAAACAGATTTCTTTCTCTCAGTCAGTTTTCTCTTTCCTTTAAAGAGAAACTACAAATTATGTGAAACAGGGCATTAAAAAGCATTTGGACTTGAGAAACAACTTTTTATACTAGAAATCGAACATAGCATTGATCCTGAGAAAGAACAGTACTGGTAGGCAATAAAAGGAACAGAAAGAGTAGAATTAAATTCAAGCAGAAATCAAAATATAATTAAGAACAACAACACACAATAAGGGTAATGAGGTTTCTCTTAGGAAATGTGTGTGTGTGTGTGTGAGTGTGTATGTGTGTGACTGTGTGTATGTGTGTGTGAATGTGTGTTACTGCGTGTGTGTGCGTGTTACTGTGTTGTGTGCGTGTGCCTCTATGTGTGTGTGTGGGGTTACTGAATGGCAAAGAACCCTATGTGTGGAACTTCCTTGATTCCTTCCTATGGAGATACTGAGAACTCTGAGGCTAATGGGAATCAATGGAAACCACATGAATTAAGTCATATCCAAGTTTTCCTTCAACTCTAAAGCAAAGCATAGGGTTCAAAGCTTTAGCATATTGCTCCTTACTAAAAAGAATGTTTAGCAGAGAGATCAAACAAAATTCTCACTGTGTGTTTTCTTTAAAAATGGGCCAACTGGTCAAAACTGAATTCTCCAGTCACCGGTCTAGTTTGTGTCTACATTTCCAGGCAGCCCCAGAATGATCTCTGAGTAATTACAGCTTCCTTTACACATGTGAGTTTTTAATGTTACTAAGTTTTTTAATATTCAAAAATTTACTCTCAAGTAATTAAATTGATACATTATTAGAACCAATATCAATGTAAATATTGACTATGAAAGAATTAGTGTTAGCTGGATTGCGAAAATATAGTTTGTATTTATTAAAGACAATGACCCTCTTTTTTGAGAGTCAAGGTGCTGTCATAAAAAAAGTCACTGAGACATTCAGTGCGGACGTCAAGATTCCAGTATTTTCAGTGCTCTGGAGTAGACCGAATGATGCTAGATAGAAAGACACCAGGCAACTCAATAGTGAGACAACACAGTTACAGTGAAAAGTTCATTACAGGAGTGAAATCAGTTGCTGTGGGATGTAACTGTTCTATTTTGACACTTCACGTGTTTAAATTTAAAAAGGAAAATAACTTAACATAACATCTGTGAAGTCCAACTTCTACATATGAAAGAAGGAAACGTGACCTGGTTGTCAGATATGAAAAAGATTGCCTTGTAGTTGATTAAAAGTTTTATCTGTCTCACAGAGTTCCAGTTCAGGATGTAGCTATCTGTGCATGCAAAGCATTTCAGCACCCCGCAGCTCCTGCCTCACTCCTGCTGTTAGAGGAGCCATGGAGTGCTGTTAGCATGTGAGGCTCCAGGTCAAGCATGTTGACATAAGAGAAACCATGAAGTTCTTCTGGCATGCAAGGCTAACAATGGTGTGTTTGCTGTAGCTGCTGTCTAGCAAGCCAATAGCAAAGAAAAGTCTTACTTCATGTATAGCCCTTTTATTAGGCATATTTAATAATTTCTGTTTGTGTTTACCAACACATGATGTAAATGACATGTTTTTTGCATGTCAATTTCAAAGGCACAAAACATGCTTTGTGTTAAACCATGTTGCTTTTTTTGCGTGTTCTTTGAGTCAATTTTTTCATTCAGATTAGTAATATTTTAATTTTTCTTTACTTATTGCAATAATTATTTTGCAGTTAGTGTATGGTGGAAGAGGAAACAAAGAGTGGACATTTATATGTTGAAAGTGTTTTGACCTAAACTTGGGAGACTTCTAAGTGGTCAACCACATATACACGCTGGAATACCCCCGAGCTTTGCTATCACAATTTCCAGGATGTGATTCAACGCTCTGCATCTGAAGGGAAGAATTTGTGACTCAGCCAAGCTGTGGCTTTTAGTGAAAATAAGTGAACATTCGCATCTAATTTGTGGCTAGAATGTGCTGAGACCTGTGGTCTTCACTTGCTTTGTAAGCGTTCTGTCAACCACCAAGCACTCTGGCCTCTCCTGAGGGTGGAAAGTGTTAGCTGCCTGTGTAAAAATATCTGAAAATATTTCACACATTCACAATATACTAGAAAGGATATGGGCATTTTCCCCTCTGCTTTCCTTCTGTGGAGTTTCAGCAACATGCCTTACAACATATAGAGCAAGGAGTCTGCATGTTGACACTTTTATAATTCTTGCATGAGCCTGTAACTGCCTATTTAGGCTCCAATATTTAAAACAGAGCTGATTCTTAATTGGATTAAATTTTCACTTCTATGAGACATGGGGGTGTAAATGTGATCAAAATGTGACTAGGCTGTTGGTAGCTTTGACTCTCCACTTCCTCAGTCATGGAAAGATTACAAATCCAAATGTTTGAAGATGAGTTCATCAGACAACACAGCACATGGTAGAAACGGTGGCAGAGTAGAAAACACACACACACACACACACACACACACACACTTTATTATTACCAGGAATACTCTTGAACAAGACCCAAATCCTTGTGTAGATTATAATTTGATGACAAGTTACATTACAGCAGAATCTCCATCCCTTTTTGATAGTTCTATAAGTTTTTAGCACTTTTGTAAGATGAACTGTGGAACATCTTGAGTTTGGTCAATTCACTCAGCTTTATAAAACTAGATTCACAATTCTCAGCCATGATATTTACTTACACTGACAGCACTAAGATTCTTAGACACTGGCATTTTTTCATTAAAAGTACCAAGTATCACTATATGAATTGAACAGGTTATATTTAGGAATATATATGTAAATACATATTGCATGCAATAACAATTAGAGATAAAAAGAGATCATGAAGTAGAGTAGGGAGGGGTTCATGGGAAAGTGTAGAGGGAGGGAAGGAAGGGGAAATGTTATAATTACATTATAATCTCAAAAGTAAAAAAATGAAAAGCTACTGATCAACTAAGTCCATCCTTGGGTTCTTTTTGGTGTTGCTCATTGGCAGAATGTCAAAGACACCCGATCTCAAAAGGGCTGAAGTCCTGTTTCTTTAGTTTCCAATTGGAAAGTTGAGGCTGGAGTGGAAGCTGAACAATGATGTGCACGTGGCAGGTCCATCACAGATGCTTCCTAGTAGGAGAAATCAATATATCTGCGTATCCTAAATGCTGTGTGGCTAGTGGAAATGCTCTAACTGAACACTTGCTGGTTCTCCCGTAGCTCGATGCCAACGGGGAGCTGCTCATCCGAAATGCCCAACTGAAGCATGCAGGAAGATATACATGCACAGCACAGACCATCGTGGACAATTCTTCAGCTTCGGCTGACCTTGTGGTACGAGGTAAGAGTTGCCAACAATTCAAGTGAAAATAAACCCCTAGGTATTTGATGTTCGGAATTTGAACAGTCTTCTGGTAGCCCTGGTTATCCAAATCCTCATGTGTTTATAGTAAGGTTCCCTGCTGCAGATGTATTTCTGGCTTCCTCCCCACAGCTCGGGATGGCTTACGCCAGACAAGTAGTAAGAGCACTCATTCTGTTTGTGTCACTGACCACGTGTCTTCTAGCAAACTACACCACAAGCCTCTTACTGACCATGTTTAAAGCTAAACACTCGTTCAGCTCCTTATTTCCTTCTAATGCATTTCAGTTTGTGGTAGGGTACAATTACCTTTTTACTTCAACTGGGAAAAATTCTTGACTGGCCTTACTTACCTTAACCACAAATGTGATATATTTGTTGTGGTTGTCTTAGAGTTAAAACATGGCTTGATGCATTACGGTGTCACTGTATTGCTGATTTTCCACTACTGCTTTTGCTGGCATGGGTGATGTAATTGAGAACATGATGGACTATGTGTATATGGCAAATGCAATCCCTTTGCCCCTCTGCTGGGGAGGGGGATGGCTTGGAAGGAGAGATAGCTGTGGGCTTGTTATTCATTGGTTCACTGCTGGGTACAAGGAAGGCATTCCTCTTAGCTCAATTCCAAAGACATTCCATGGCTTGGCTTCAGACGCTTCACCTTAATGTCTCCCCAGTTCTTGTAACCAAATCCAAATATCCAGCAGCTCACAAAATTCCTTAGTCTTTCCACATGTAATCTTTGATCCAGTGGTCCTTTAATGTTCTTTCTATATCATTTGTTGCCCAGATTTTACCACCCTTCAGAGCCTGCTCAAGTACTATGTTAGGATTTCTCTGGTGGCTCACATATGAGCTCCTCTCTGAACCTCTAGAATTTCTATACTTTTACATCAACCTGTGTATAATTGTATTATTGTCTACTACAAAAATCACATGCATTTTGACTTATATTTATCAAGTCACATAAGCCTTTGAAAATTTTATGATGCCTTTTTTATCAATTTTTGAACTTCCTATCTTTTAGCATTTGAACGCTATTTAAGTGCCCATTTTTAGGACAATATTTAAAAGTATGACAAATACTTAGGAAACAAAGTATTTGGGGCTTGTTCAACTGAATTCCTCTTTCAAATCCATATAAAATTGATACCCTCTCCAGTCTCACATCCTTCTGAATTCCCCTTCAGGACAACAAAAACATAGATTGAACCCCATGACCAACATGAGGCAATGCTGAAAACCCTTCAGTCTCTTGAAGGGGTGGCAAGAACCTGGCTGAAATTTCTTTATCCAAATGAACTCATTTATCCATTCCTCAGGCCATCTACTGCAAATTAATAAAGAAAACCCCATGTCCCCACAATCCCAACTTAACAGAACTTCATGTGGGTTCAGCATCTCCATTTCGATTAAATTATTGTTTGAGGCACTGACTACCTTCACAAGTTCTCAGTAAAAGAAACAAGCTTCCTTTCCTTTCTCACGAGACACTAGCTACAACTCCATTTTTGGCAGAACACTAAATAAGGATCTCATTAAAAATCACTTGACATATTTTAAGAATAAGAATTAATGTTACCTGAGGGTTCGTGTTACAATGCTTGAACATCAGTGTTCTCATGATCATGATAAAAACATTACGGTGACATTAGCATACACTATAGAAAGTGTTTTCTGTACACATGCTTAATAATTAATAATCTCCCATTGTGTATATTTTTTACAGAGCCAAAACTAATCTTTAAAAGATGTATAATAGCTAATACGTGGAAACCTGAAACAGAAACCCTTTTGTATAGCAATTTTTGGTTCTAGGGAGAAGTGTTTCTGGCAAGAGTCTAGCAAGTGCCCTCAGGACATGCATGGTGCAGCAAGTAAGACCCTGGCAGTGACGGATGCTGCATAGGGACATGAATGATGCTGCTTACTCCATGCAATCTGCTCACTCACAGTCACTCCAGTAATAGAAAGGTGTCTATTATATATAACAAATTGACTAAGTTCTTCAGAGTTTATGCATATCACAATATCACGATGTAAACACTGTAGACCCGTAGTTGCTGGTTTTTGTTTTACTCTTTGCTCTTACTCTTTGAACTTTTTTGTCTTTTAGGGGGCTGCCACCCTGCTCCCAAATAAATCATATATAGAGGCTTCTTCTTACTTATAAATGTGTGGCCTTAGTTTGGCTTATTTCTAGCCAGCTTTTATTAACTTAAATTATCCCAACTATCTTTTGCCTCTGGGCCATTTCCTTTCCTTCTGTATGTCTTACTTTCACTCTTACTCCATGGCTGGCTGGGTGGCTTGCTCCTGAAGTCCTCCTCTCCTTGTTCTATCTTGCTTCTTCTTTTCCCAGATTTCTCCTCCTATTTGTGATCTCTGCCTGCCAGCCCTGCCTAGCCTTGCTCTTGCCTTGTTATTGGCCATTAAGTTCTTTATCAGACCATCAGGTGTTTTATATAGGCAAAGAGTCACAGCTTTGTAGAGTTCAACAAATGCAGCATAAACACAGGCAACACATCTTCAAATAATACTCCACAACACAGAACTTCTAAATGTTTCATACATATGATTAGAGGGTGAAGGGCTAAAGAATTCTCAATATTGTGTCTCATAAAACTCATGTGATTATTAACGTATCCACATAATTCTACTTTTGCATCTCATTCAGGAAACCATATGCTGTGTAATTACTCATCTCAGAGAGAAGTACGAAGGAACTAATAAATTTTCTGTAGTGAAACTGAAGGATGCTTAGACTATAAATTTGAGTCAGGCAAGATGGCACATGCCTTTAATCTCAGCAGAGTGGAGGGCAGAGGCAGGTGGAACTCTGTGACTTCCAAAACGGCTTGGTCTACATGGACTGTAAGTTGCATATGGAACACCAGTGTGCATTCAATACTTTAATGACAAACACATATTCCTCAAAACACAGCTGAGTGTTTAGCAGCCCATGGTCTCCTGAAGTTTTGCTTTCTATGCTCTCAGCTGCCCAAGGACAATAACATCCTAAATACAGTAAATGGATAACTTCAGATGTGTGTAATTCATGGTCTTTAATAGTATATGCTTGTGGACAACACATGTATCCCACTCCATCTTGCCTGGGATGTGGGTCATTCTTTGGTCAGTTGTGATGTTGTACAGCAGCAATTTTCAATCTGTAGGTTGCAACCCCTTTTGAATTGGTATGACCATCAGAAAACACAAATATTTACACTACAGTTCACAAAGGCAGCGAAATTACAGTTATGAAGTAACAACAAAAATAATTTTATGGCTGGGGGGGTCACCACAACATGAGGAACTGTGTTAAATGGTCACAGCATTACAAAGGCTGAGAACCACTGTTGTATAGCTTAGCCACTTGGTAGTTGCTTTATAGCCATTTGTTATATTCAAATAACATTTATCTTATTTAATAACAGTTCCAAAGCATGAAGTTTCATCACACCATAACTTCATAATTTTGTATTAGTTAATGATCTCTTCAAAGATGTTCCTAATTATTAAATTATACCTCACCATAAATACATGTGTATATAAAATTTTCATATAGAATTAATATATAATGCTGTCTGCAGTTTCCTGCTTGCCCCGTGGGTCTTAGAATGAGTTTTCTGTGGGAAGGCACACTACTGCTTCTACCTATGGTAGACATTAGATATGAATAACAGTTTGCTAGACTTAAGAGAGACTAATTGCAATTCATAGTCAGGTAACCAGGTTTTGAAACACAGGTGCAGTGCCATTAGATGTGTTGAACATTGCTAGGCAGAAGCTCTTCCCTCTAGGAATGCCACAGAAGTTTGGAGTCTTGATAACACAATGATTCGTATGTAAACTCTTATTCTGTATCAGAAGATTGAAAAAACAAAAGCGTGAGTATTCAAACACAAGAAAGAACATAAATCTCTCTGTGTCTCTCTGTCTCTCTCTCTCTCTGTGAGTGTGTGTGTGTGTGTGTGTGTGTGTGTGTGTGTGTGTGTAAACCCCAGAGGAATATTTGATACCATTTTTTTTCAGGAACCATCTACTTTGTGTTTCTGAGATGGTATCTGTCACTGACTTGGAACTCTTCAGTTAGGCCAGTTGATTGGTTGGTCAGCAAAACCCAGTGATCTCCTGTCATCGCCATCTGATCTCTGGGATTATTACTGTGTCTACAACCCCCAGATGTTTATACAGATCTTGGAATTGAATTCAGTCTTTGTGCTTGTGTAGCAAGCACTTTGCAGAGTCGGCTCTCTCTGAGGCCAAGAATGTGGACGTTTTTAAATCTGTATTACCTTGAAGAAAATGAATGCAGAGCAGAAAATGTGGGCTCCCACAGCATGTGTGTGTGCATGTGTGAGCACTGGTAACAATAATGAAAGATTGAGTGTATGCATGAAGCTTCATGAGAGTAGTATGTATCGTGAAATACAGCATTCATTTTTATCATTATTGTAAATTAAGTTTAGAAGGGGCAAATTAATTAAATATAAATGCCTCTATATGGGTATTTTTCATTACCATAGCACAGTAACTGAACTAGGATCATGTATAAAGGAAGGAGGTTCATATACATCGTAGTTTACGAGGTTGGAAGCGTAACACCGACACTGGCTCAGCTCTCCCGAGCAGTGAAGGACACACATAGCATGGAAAGGCGCACATGGCAGGGAAAGACACACATCACACCTCACTCATGTACGTGTGTTGTTTATAGCATGAGACTGATAGCAAAACTAGCAGAAAGCCGTACACTCCGTGGCCTACTACCTCACAATGCACCCTATTTTGTATAGTTTCCACCACTGGAAAACCAAACTTTCCACACATAAATCCTCAGGTACCTACACAAACTGTATCCCTAACCTTAGCAGCCTCTAGACAAACACTGCGGGGGATGGTAACTCTGGATCTATTGCAAGGAACTGCTCTGCTGCGTGTTGGTTAGGCCCGATGAATAATGAAAAAGGCAGCATTGTTGACTGAAAAAAACTCATCAAAATGGCCCCAGTATTCATAACAGATGAGAGCATCATGTGTTATAACAAACTGAAGCACTTGAATGTATTTAAGCACTGATTCTGTATGAAGGGGCTTAAAGAAGAGAACAGAAACCGTTGTACAGAACCTGATCCACCAGTCCTGCTCAAGCTAGAAACTGTGGCTTGCATAGAGATAGCGTTTCATTCTTACAAAGCTGCCATTTCTGCAATCTTTGTCTGTCCACATTGGAAATATTCCCACCAAGGTTAATGCAGGGTAGAAATTATCTCTACAGGAGGCTTTGTACTTCAAGTGTTATGGTTCCAGAAGTTCATTTCACAACATTCAAGACATAGATAAACTCTGACAAAAAGTTGACACTCTCTAAGAAGAGAGTCTTCTACTCAGCTCTCTCATGATCCCAACACACTGATAATTAAAATGTGAAATTATGTAAAAGATACACACCAAGTACCTAAGGACACCTGTGGCGATAAGAGAGTCAAGGGGAAGAAATGAAAGACAATATAGCTCAAATCAAGAGTTCAGAGTATAGTGAATAAAGTACAACTTATAATCACCATGCTGAATTAGGAAATTATCCAGGGTCAAAATGGTTCTAAACAATAAACTCTTTAAAAAATCCAGCAGTTAGGAGGGAAAGGAAAACTCATTTAATTGGTATAGAAACACAGTCATTGTAAATGGTAATCCAACATCTCAGTGATAGACTGAAGGTGGGTTATAAAGCTGGAGGCTACACTTGATAAAAATCATACTTCAGCATAGAGAATCAAAAATAAAGCAGTAAAAAGAAGTAAAGGCATTGCATACATAATTGATCCCATGGCATGCACCTCTGGGATTAGCCACTTGGGGAACTGAGGCAGGAGGATGTCTTGAACTAAGAACTTTGACACTAGCCTTTCAAATACTGCCAGACCAGACCTCAAAAAAATTCGGAAAAGATGCATGTGTACCATATATATAGACACCACACATACACACCACACACAGACACACACACCACACACCTCATACATACAGCACACACACACACACACACACACACACACACACACAGCACGGACAGAGACCTAAGGAAGAGATAAATATGTAAAGAGAGAAGATCAGTGTCCCGATAGAGCAAAACTAAAGAGGTAGATATTTTTCAAATACTTGGGCCAGAGAACCACACATTCACCTCAGATCCTTGGATGACAGCCTGAGCTTTCCACTCGCCTTAGCCAAGGAGATCTTGCCACAGAGACAGACTAGAGGTGCTGTCTCATCAGCCTTGCAGGACTGAGACAGCAAAATGACCCTTGCTGCCCACACTGGCTACAAGGAGACCCAACTAGGCGCCATGCAGAAGCATTTTGACTCAACTCCACACTAAACCACAACTACACTGCCTATTAATAGTGAAGCTGGCCCAGAAATTAAGCATTTCCCTTTCTTCTGAGAATCAACTAATTCAGGTCAAGAAAACTCTGTTGAAACCGGCTCTCCACAGTGGTTCCTACTAAGGCTGAACTCAGGAAATGAGTATGGATCTGGTCAGAATAAGCATAGGATGTAGAAAATGACTGGCGATTTAAAATTAGAACCTACAGTTCTATTGATTATTAAAAAACAAGAAAAGATAACTGGTCCAAGAACTTCCGTGATTTAAAATGCATTAATGTTGTGAAATTATACTTCTTAGTGTAGGGTGAATGAAAATGGCTTTCTTTCTGTTTCTGTCTTTGAGAAGCAGGTCAGATTTTGATGAACTGGAAGTTTTCAATGCTCTGTGGTTGATCTGTGTGCACAACTCCCCTCCCACTAGCATACATACCTCTCTGGCTCTGTCCCTGGTAAAATAAGTAGATCTTCCATTGTTTCCTAGTTACACAAAGACAGGGAGGACCTTTGGACAAAGTGATTACCTGTTTACCAGTGTGGGAAGCTGCAGTGGCATGTTTAGTGCTTTGGATCTTCTAACTCTGTTAACTGTTCCTGGGATTAACTGTATCATACTCTGGGGGCAAGAAAGGAATGTGTCAAGGTTTGACAACTGAATCTAAAATTTCTCTTAGTGTTGACAAATGCAGTCTTTTCACAGCTGGTATTCTCTACTTTCTCTCAAAATGATTTTAGGATCCACCAATGTGAAGTCCACTTTGGTGTTGGGACTTCCCCATTAGATAAGAATAGGAAGACGCAGTCTTTGACCTTTCCTTGGCATAGAGATTTTCCATTTTGAGGATTTACTGTACTTCATATTCTCATGGGCAATTGCAGATTCCAGCATAAACCCTAAGTCATTATTTCCCAAGACATAAATCACTTCACTTGCTAATTGCCCAGTGCTTTCTGCCAGCAATCATCACGCTGTGGCTCAGGACAGCCTGATGTCATTAGAGGACATCTGTGGATATTTCTCAGGTCACTCCTGGAGCACCATACCAGTGTTCCAAAGGACACTGGAATTCACATGAGAGTAACCATATTGCAGGGAAATCTTGAAATCTACTTAGGTTTTAGAAAGCGCACCTAGTTTTAGTAAGTTTATTATTTTTAGAAAATATACACATCGTTGTGAGAGCCCAGTAGAAATATTAGGAGAAATGCACCAGGCACACACGTCCTGAAGGATGACTGTGGGAAGGGGAGAGAAATGGGAGAACAACAGTGTCCTGTTAAGGTTGGGAAGAAGAATGGTGCTTGGGTGTTCTATGACATCACAGTTTTGACAGCAAAAGTACAGCAGTGAATAATGTGCTGTGTGCTTTTCAAAAGTTAAAAGAAAGTTTTCAAATGTCCCCTTCATAAGGAAATGATTAAAGAATGGTAAAAGAAATGGTGTGAACAGGAAAAAGAGAGGGGGATAAGAGGAGGGGAGAAGAAGGCATGGGGGAGCAGGAAGGTTGAGTTGAGGTAAGAATAGAGGAGAGTAGGATAAGAGATATCATAATAGATCGAGTCATTATAGGCTTGAGGAGAGAGCTGACACTAGTGAGATCTCCAGAGATCTACAAAGAGAACACCAACTGGCAAACTAAGCAATAGTGAAGAGACTACATTAATAGCCCCTCCTTGATGATAAGGTTGATGACTACCTTATATGCTATCCTAAATTCTTCATTCAGTGACTGATATAAGCAGAGACCGATACCCACAGCTAAACACTGAACTGAACTCCTGGAACCTAGTGACAGAGATGGAGGAGTAATGAGCAAAGGGGTCAAGACCATGATGGTGAAACCCACAAAGACAGCTGACCAGATAAGGGGGAACTCTTGAGTCCCAGACAGGGGGCTGATCCAGACTCAATGAATATAGTGTCAGTGAGGAGGCCACAGAAATCACTGGGACCTTGGGTAGTAGATCAGTGTTTACCATGGTGTATGAATGATCTTTGGGGGACCATTCCAAATAGAGGGATGCTCTATCAGCCTGGACACATGGGGAAGGGGCTAGGTCCTGCCCGGATGAAATGACAGACTTTGGAGATCCCCCAAGAAGGGCCTCATCCTCTCTGGGGAATGATGTGGGGATTGGTTGGGGGTTGGGGGGGCTGGTGGAGGGACAAGGAGGAGGGGTGGGAGAGGGATGTGGGGATTGACATGAGAAGCATTCATGTTTCTAATTTAAATAAAAGTATATATTGAGGAAAAACTTATATATGTGCATATATATTATATACATGTATATAATAATAATAAAGAAATGGTGTGAAGATTTACACATATTTACATACATATGTATATATAAATCTTCATTTATATGTATAATTTACCTTCTTGGGAGCATCACATTATGTATACATATGCTACATGGTAGCCTATAAATATGTAAGTTTTATAGATTGTGTATAATAAAAATAAAGTCTACACATCTACTGAATTCCCAATACTATTAGTAAGAAATTGTTTGTGACAAATCAGAGAACAGGAGTCCTCTGTGAATATGGAAGAGTTTGGTTTCTGTGGACCTAAAGAGCAAACCTCTAAACAGCAGCTCCCAGCATTCCTAGTGTTTCTCAAGGACAGAGCTTTATATCTGCTTTTCAAGAATTTCTCCAGGTTCGGGGCCTTGGGTTTAAGCATCCTACAAGAACACAAAGGCACCTCAATATGGTGTATACACCCTATGTGACTGGCTCCAGCCCTCTCTCCCCACACTCCCCTCTTCAATTCGCAGAGAAGTAACTCTGCAAAAATACAAACTTCCAAAGCCTTACTTGTTGCTATGTAGCTACATTAACATACATGTCCAGGTGCTTAAAAGCTTGCCATTCAGTGATGGGAAGACTAGGGACCTCAGCATCAGACGATCAGGTTCATTCTTTCCATTGAGAACAAGAGGCTCCAGGCTGCCCAGTCAGTGAGTATCGGGTGCTACAATTACAAAAGGGAATACTAATACACCTTTTTATGAATATTTTACTCTTAGAAATTAAATTCAAAATCTTTCATTTTTTTGTAATTACAATTCTTCTGCACATTTCTGTTAGTAAGTAAACCTGGATTGGACAGAATGAAATGTCAAGTTCAGGAGTTCCGTCTTGTTTTTCATTTCCTTCTGTTACATTTCTTTCTTTCTTTTGGGGTGTGGGTGAAGTTCTGACTTTTTCCAAGGATTGTAGTTACAACTCTTGTGCTTGCCGACTTCAGTTAGTACTGAAGAGAAATGGAGGGTCACTGGACCAATGCCCATTGTGTCAGCTTCTCACCTTTGGGCAAGCATCCTTGCTAAGTGGGTAGCTCTTTAATCATGATTTCAGCTGTCAAAGACACATGGCAATCCCCAAAGCAGGTGGCTTCCTGCCTAGAATTGGGCATCTGGACATTCCCTTCAGCGTTAATCTTTCCTCTTGCAGGTAAAAAGAGAAAAGATGGAGAGAAAAACATGGTGGACCCCTTTTTCCCCGTCTGTGCCAGCCTGCCTCCAACCTGGTGATCTGGACACTCACCTGTTGTCTGAAAGCCCCACCCCCATCTCGAACTTAAAACGTGCCAAAGTAGATTTGACTAATTAACCCAACCTTGTAGCTTTTGCCATGTCTTTCTCCATCCTAGTTTGTAGAGGATGTTTGAGACTTCTTAACATGCTTTGAAGTGAGAGGATTTAAAACTCTGGATTAGCTTCACTAACACCTGAAAACAATGCCTTAGCTCGCTAACCTAGGGCATCATAGTATACTAGCCCAGTAAAAGTCCCTGTTTCCTATCCTGTTTTTCTTTGAGATTATTTATCTCAGAAGTTAGTGCATCACCATAAAACATTATGAAGAACTGGTGATATATAAAACAGGAGTGTTGTGGCTACATGAACTGTTTAATTGATTGAAGCAGGTAATGAAGTGTTGTCCAATTCACCAGTCACTTTAATTGGAGAGAGAGATGGGTGGGACCACACTACAAGTGACTTTTTATCTAACACTGCCTTTCATACTTTTGGGGGAACAGTTATCATGACTTTCAAGAGGTCTTGGGGCAAAGTCTGGGTTTGGGGAATGAACTTGGACAGTGAATAGAGCAAGATTCATAGGAAGAAGGCTAAGTCTTCTACAGCATGCTTTCAAGTTAAAGGGTGGTGACTCCTACCATAATCCTTCTTGGCCATCTCCTTAAGGAGGAAGGTTGGGGTTTGTATTATGATTGAGCTGAAGTGAATTTTGAATCTGAATGTGCAATTCTTCCAGGGACTGCTTACATTTCCCCCGTTTTCTTATTTGGAGAGAAACATACTTAAAATTCTTAATTTTTCCCCAGAGGCAATTTTGCCCTTCTTAGACAGTTTTATGTTTAGTAATGAGATATTATTTGATCCTTTCATTTAGTGATTTGTGACCCCCCCCACCCAGCAACTTCATCTGTGATTGGGAAAACTCAGGAACCATTTGAGGGATGTGTATATTACTCTTAAATAATTACACATGGATAGTTGCTCTGCAAGTAATTTTCAAAGGACAAATGTCTCTTGATTTCTTATATTCATCCTTTATATCTTGCAGTTGTGGTATAGGCATAAAGAATTACCTACATTAATTTCTATTTTAGTACATATTTAAAAATATTTCAGGGGTTTTCTGGAGTGTGTCTGTAAACATCACCATGGAAACACACGTGAGTCTCTACTTAGGGCATTTTATTATATAATCTGTATGTGAGGTGATACCTCCAAGACCGGAGAAGAAAGTAAAGAATGAAAATTCAGAAAGAAATTGCATGATAGGAAAGCATGCTTGTGTTTAAACAAGAATGGTTTCTTAGCTTTACTAACTTCCTCCAAATCTCACTTCTAAGTGGGGTAGTGTCTCTTTTTTTTAATCAGTGTCAGAGGATGTTTGCTATTTATCTCTGTTTTACACTTCTCAAACTTGAACTGTAGCATACCACACCGGTTTGATTTTGTACATTACAAATGAGCCATTATCCTAACAAATTTCCTGGTTTCAGCAGGCCTGTTGCAATGAAGGGTCTTTAATTTAACTATCTGGTAATGGAGGAACAATTGGCCAGCTAAAATTTATATATTTTTCCTCTGTTGACAAGTTTTATTTTGAGATTATTTTGGTCAATTAAAGGGTGATACTTCTCATAATTTCTGCATCCTTAGCCTCTTGAAACTTCATCTGATTGAATCACACTGGAAAAATTAACACTGAGTACAGAATAAGTGTTGGGATGCCTTTTTATTTTATTACAAACTGGCTATTTATCAGAAGAGAGAGAATAACCACTTTAGAATCAGCGACATTTGTTTTAAAAAATGAGTGGTATGAAAGAGACTCTTGAGAAATGTTTGGCAGGCAGCATTGGAAAGCAGTTCACGTTGCAGACACGTGATCTAAGCTTTCAAATTGACATCCCAGGATTTAGTCACATTGTGCTAGGAAGGTTTGTAACCTATCATGACCATACTCTGTCTCTGACTGCCCAAGTGGTTCTGTCTTTCTAGACCAGAGTTCTTTTATAAAATACACAGATACTGGCTGCAAGAAGCACTGAGCACGGGGCTCCCTCTTTGTCTACCAGTAGTCAATGATTTAGTAGGAAAAAGATTAAGGTCCAAGACTACATTAGTGAAAGAATCTATGGGTGTGACAAATGAGACTCTCTGCCACCCCAGAGATACTGGACATTTCCGTATTCCTTCACTGGTTAACAGAACTAACACAAGCTTCAGTGGTCATTTGTGGACTCCCCAGTGCCTGGACATAACCCTGGGAAGGAGGCTGGTAGCTAGCTGTGCTTCATCCTACAAGGATGAAGGCTGATGGCCCAGAGCATCCTCTGTCAACAGTCTCCTAGGTCACAAAAGCAGGAGAGAAAGAACATGTGGATGAGGAACAGAAAGTGTGGAGCCAGTGATACAAGGGTCTGTCCATGCCTCCATCTGAGTATTTGTCTATGCCTTCACCTGAGCAGTACAGGAAGATACCCTTAGCCAGGCAGGAGGCCTATCACATCACAAGCCTTCCTGGCATCATCTGGCTGGATCAGGAAACAGAGATCAGCCTGTCTGTAGAGATGTCACATCAGCTCAAAGCTATGCAATGCAGAAGGCCCAGGAAAGGCTGTGAGGCAACTGAAGTAGAAGGATGAAAAGCAGAATGCTGCTTCCACCAACTTTATTCTCTTTTCCATCTTTCTCTTCCTTTTCCTCCCTTCCTTCCTTTACTTCTTTTTCTACTTTTACTGTTTCCCCATGTATTTAATGGTGGTAAGAAACATTAATAGCTTGAGTTTGCTAGAGCTAGTCATAAAAATATATCTGTTCATCACCTACAATAAGCTTTTTATTAAATATAATATTTTCATTAATTAAGAATTTCATACATGTATACAATGTACTTTGACCATATTTGTCCTCTACTCCTCCTCCAACCCAGTCCAAAGCCCACAACCCTTCCTCCCAACTTCAGGCCCTTGTTTTAATTTGTGAATCCCATGTATTCATGGGTGTGGAACCACCCACTGCAGCATGACTGATCTACCAGGGGCTACACCTTTGGGGAAAACTGATTTTCTCCCACCCCCAGCAACAATTACCTTTCAGTATTGCCCATATAAATGCTGGGAACCATGTGCCTCTCCTACCACAAGGTTGGGGTGTAGACTGGTTGCATCATGTTTTGGCAACCAAGGCTGTTGTGAGCTCATAAGTGCATCTTCTCCATCTTTTGCCCTGGTCTTCTCTGACCTCTGGCTCTTACAATATTTCCACCCATCTTCTGAGATTGCCTATGAGTTCTGGGGAAAAGCCACCTGACCTCTTTAGTAATTAAGAGAAAGAAATATATTGAAGAATAATTTAAATTCCAAGGCCCCTTCCAGATGATGAAATTTTATTTTATGGTGATGTAACCTTGAGATGAAAATGTGCTCATAGGAATTATTATCTTCTGGATTTCTGGATGAGGAAGTCCTAAGAAATGCTGAATATATGGCAAAATTCTGAAAATGTGTGTAGTAGCCATCTGCTCATATTCTTCTAGATGTCAGAGCTTCCCATAAGGAGTTATTTAGAGTACACAGAGATGAAAGAAAAGGAGAAAGGGAGAAAGGCAGGAAGGGGAGGGACCTGGAAGTCACAATTGTATGTAACACCCATACCCCCACATTGCAGTGACAAGGGGCTCAGGAAAGGACTCTCCTTATTGAGTGTCTTCTTTTGTTCTCGGGCACACAGTTTCTTTATCCCATTTTCTACCCCAGCAATGTCATTCTGGACAAACAAACAAAAAAAAAAAACAACCAAGTAACATTAACATCCATTTCTGAAAACCCCTCTGTGGGAGATGCAGCAGCCTGACCTGGGGTCAGCTCAGGCCATCCAGAATTCCATGCTCCACGGTAGCTGAACAGCCTACATTTTCTTTCATTTCCATCAAATGCCTCAGAAAACACTTACTTCAGTTTCTAGAGTCCCTGCTGCTTTAAGATCATAAATGAGCAGCTCTTGCTAAGAGCAATCGCTGCTTCCAGGAGCTGTGGCTCCTAGAAAACTCTTCCAACAATAATGACAGTTGATGTTTTCTAAGGGTTCTGAGGACTAGGCCTGCCTAGAACTGAAGTCTTTAAGGTTGTTATCTTAGTCACAACAACAGTCTGATGATGAACTCATATTATTCCCATTTTATATATGAAGAAGCAAGAACTCGGTAGTTTAAAAACCCTGGCCGTGTTATATTAGCATGTGAATTTTAAAGGCATGTTTATTTTGAATTCTCCAATTCCAACTTCTGTAATAGTATGATTTTCCCACTCTTAGTGAAATCTCTGTGTAGCAGAGAAATATAAGAAATAGCCAGGTGAGAGACTAGGGAGGTAGCACAGCCATTATAGCCCAAAACTCATAATAAGAGGTAATGAAGCAGGAAGCCTATTTTATATTAGATGGAATATTGCAAAGTAATATCACATAAGGGATTTTGAGGTGCAGGCCACTCCCTCAGTGCCACTTCCTGGTCGTACAGCATCTCAAGGTTTGTATGTGAATGAAGGGTGCATTATGGATGACGATAAGGACATCAGCTGGGATCAGTTCATTCATATGGTCAACAATGGACCCTTACAAGCCAGGCAAGCATCAGAGGTCAACATCACAAATAGCAACTACATATTTGCTCAAAAATCCCGTTTTTCTGTCACTGAGTAACTCAACAGAATTATGGTGCCCACAGTGTTCCTAACAAATATACTAATGTATGCAACACCATGCAATCTTTGTGCAATATGGCTCACCCGAAACTCCAAGAATTTCAGAGAAAAACAGCAGGGAAATGATGTGTACATGAGCAGGTGGAAGCTATCCTGAGACTTTCTTCTTCAAGCCCTTGTAACGTTGCTATTCACTAATGATCAGCAGAGTTTGGGGGCAGCATAGAAGCTTATCTATCTTTAAAAATAACTTCTTTCCTCTTTTGTATTGATTTTCTATTTTAATTTTCTGCAGTGCTATGACCAGTATTTGATTTTCCTGTAAGTCTCATTAACCAGCTGACCTGTGCTTCAGTCTGATTTTTCCATGTTAAAAAAAGCAAAACGTGGTATATTCTCCTTGAATAGCAAGTGTGCTCTATATTATGCACATGTCAGTATTTGATTGTTTAACATTGAATATAAGCACCCTCATAGATGATGAATTTTAAAGCTCTTTTGCCTTTATTGTGTTCATATGTATCCTTCTAAGGAATAAAATTTACTGCCAGCAACAGGGTGTGCCTTGTGTTTATTGACACACGAATACTCTATTCCTTGAGATTGGCAAAGGTGTGAGATGTTGTCTATCCTCTGTAAAAAAAATCACATATGCGGGAAAGCCACCAAGGCTGCATACTCACTTGATAGAACATAAGGAAGGTGTTTGCTGCAGGATAAAGACAGACACATGCCTTAGTGCAACTCACTATGAAAAAAAAAAACGTTCTGCCTAACCAAATAGTTAATTACTGTATTTGATAGGAACAGTTCAGTTAAAGATGCCTTTGTGGTACAGAGAGAGTTAAGTGGAGGTTTTCTGAATATCTGCCCTAGATACCTCTTGACCAAAATTATTTTAACAGCAAGTAATGGCTGCTAGATTATTATTTAAAATACCTCCTCCTGCCCTCAGTTTTAAGAAGAAAAAATCATGACCTGAAATAGAAGATCCTTGAACACCATTTCCTGGCATTTACCAGCATTTACTACCCTCAGTACTTTACCGGTCCATTTCAGTCTTTCAAGTCATGAACTATGGAAACCCATAAAGTTATATCCATTTCAGCATCGTGTTGTCAGTTTGGAGAATAAAAAGGTAGCATAGTTTTGCAGAAAGATGCACCCATGGAAACCAATTTTAGCATTGTTTTATGTTCATATACCATGGGATCTTGTGTTCTAAGACTTGTCAACATCTAACATGATGTTTTCAGAGCAGAAGTTTCTTAGTAGAGCATTATCTTCAATGTCTCATTTAAGTAGAAAAAATGCTCTTAATGTAATTTATTTTCATTGCTAGAACTAACAGGAAATTTAGTAGCGAAAGAATATATAAGATGATTCTCAGAAATCCAAGTAAAATAGATTGAACAAATTATAATTATGGTCAATGTTATGGTATGTAGGTTGTAGTAAGATTTATTCCACCTTGGGAGACAGAATGAAGCACTGGATCAAATATTCTTCTATTCGAATTGAATATATGATTCATGCATCCAATAGACATTAACTAATGCTCAACACACTCTAATTTGTATTGACCTTGCTGAAGCCAAGTATACTTTTTTGTGTCAAATAATTTCACTTGTATGATGAATAAAGTGTTGTCTTTTATTTTGTGTATTTTAAAAGAAAAATTATTCAGGGGTACAAGCATGCATATAGTGGTCAAAGGACAACTTCGTGTGTCTGGGGGTCAGAGGAATTTGGGGAGTCAGTTCTCTTTTTCTGCCATGTGGGTCCTGGAGATTAAACTCAGGTCATAAGGCTTGGTTGCAAATGCCTTTATCTGCCATGGTTTGACCCACTGCTGTTTTTAATGGTAACATGTATTGCCTTCCTTATAAAGGGACACATGAAATAATTAAGTGCAAACACAGGATATACTATAACTTCTTAACTGTCTACGTTTGAAGGAAGAGCAACACCCAACACAAATTGCATTGTTAAGAATAAATGCAATAAGGCCCTTTGTGTATTTTCATGTGTGTTTAATTCATTCACTGAGACTCACTGATTTATCACCTACGTTTTCATCCCAGGACCCCCAGGCCCTCCAGGTGGCCTGAGAATAGAAGACATCAGAGCTACCTCTGTGGCATTGACTTGGAGCCGTGGTTCAGACAATCACAGTCCTATCTCGAAATACACTATCCAGACCAAAACCATCCTCTCAGATGACTGGAAAGATGCAAAGACAGGTAAGGTTGTGGATCTAATTAGTCTGTTCATGTTTCCACATGATTTTCTTTTTTTTTTCATTCTAAGTTTAATTTTTTTCCTCCTTCCAAGTCTTCCTAAAGGCCCCTTTCTTCAATCCCTCCCATGACCACCCCCAGTCCCAGATGAATGGTCTCATTTTCTTTTATTACTGTTGTTACATACACACATGTAAATGCATAACTATATAAATACAAGCCAATACGTCTGTTTAGTCTTACTTGTGTGTATATGATTTCAGGGCTGAACATTTGTATTGGATAACCAATTAGGAGACGCTTCCAGGTTAAAGCTAATTCTTCCACGCTCAGCAATCACTAGTCACTTATAGTTGTTTGCCCAGGAGTGGGACCCATGATGTTCCCCTTCTACATCAGCATGTCTATTAGTGCTATCGTTGTTAAGGTCATGTTTAGGCAGCCAGCTGTTAAGGTAACATGGTTGAAGTTCCCTAGTCATTTCTAGGAGACAAGATCTCGCCTGGTCCTCTAGTTATTACAATGTCTCTGCCCCTTCTTCCTTGCTATTCCCTGAGCCTTGAGTACAGCAATATTCACTGTGGCTAGGCTCGCTATGATCAATAGTTCTCTGAATTAAGACCAGTTGTACTTTTCTGTAAGAGTCCCCATTTGCTGAAAAGAGAAGTTTTTTGATTCATAGTAAGAGAAAAATTATCTGTAAGTATAAAAGCATAAAGTCATGTTTTATATGGGATAGGTTGGGAAGAGGAGTGGGGAATAAATATTATCAAAGTACATTGTATGCATGTGTGAAATTTTAATGAAAATCTATATTTAATAAAAAGCTTATGGTAGGTGATGTGACTAGCTCTAGCAAAGTCAAGTTATTAATCTTTCTTACCATCATTAAGTATTTGGGGAACTAGAAACAGTAGAAAAAGAAGGAGAGGAAGGAAGGAAGGAAGGAAGGAAGGAAGGAAGGAAGGAAGGAAGGAAGGAAGGAAGGAGAAGGGAGAGAAAGATGGAGAAGAGAATAAAGTTGGTGGAAGCAGCATTCTGCTTTTCATCCTTCCACTTCAGTTGCCTCACAGCCTTTCCTAGGCCTTCTGCATTGCATAGCTTTGAGCTGATGTGACATCTCTACAGACAGGCTGATCTCTGTTTCCTGTTCCAGCCAGATGATGCCAGGACAGGCTTGTGATGTGATAGGCCTCCTGCCTGGCTAAGGGTATCTTCCTGTACTGCTCAGATGGAGGCATGGACAAATACTCAGATGGAGGCATGGACAGACTCTTGTATCACTGGCTCCACACTTTCTGTTCCTCATCCACATGTTCTTTCTCTCCTGCTTTTGTGTCCTCGGAGACTGTTGACAGAGGATGCTCTGGGCCATCAGCCTTCATCCTTGTAGGGTGTTTTAGAATGCTAGAATGCAGTTAGCACTTTTTTTTATTTGCGTAAAAGTAAGTGTGTGTGTATGTGTGTGTGTTTGTGTGTGTATGTTTTAAATACATTTCTTAATCATTCAGAAGCCGGATTTCACGCATTATTTTCTGTGTGTGTATGTGGTATGTGACCGTATGTAAAGATATATGTGCAAATACACACATGTGGAGACCAGAGTCATCAAAGGTGTCATTCTTCTGAAGAATTCACTTGTTTGTTGTGATAGGCTTTCACTGTGACCCAAGTCTACTGATTATTCTAGGGCGACTGTTCCTCTACTTCCGTACATGCCTCTCTCCATCTCCCTAGATCTTGGAATCCAAGTACATGCTAGCACACCTGGCTTTGTATGTAAATGCTGGAGATCAAACTCAGGTCCTCATGTTACACACTAGGCATTTCACAACTGAGCTATCTGCCTGTCTGGATGCTATTTAGTTGGTGCCCACTTCCTGTTTACTTCTGGAGAAGGTTATACACACCTCTGAGCCACCGCTTCCTATCGGAGTCTGCCTTCTCATGGTAGAAGGTTCAGAGTTGTATGATCATCTTCCTACCCTTTCTCCACACTAATTTTCATAGCAAATGTCCAAGTCCATATTTGGAATCCAACTTTTACCACCAAGAAACTCCAGTTGACCTTTTGTGACCTATCGCCTCTACTCCTCCTAATATCCTTGGAAGTCAAGTAAGATTTCTCTAAAACTGTGCAAACACGTGAAAAGCCAGGGAACACTCACAGTAGAGACATCGGCAGACTTGGGTCCCAGTGAAATTCAGGTCCTCATGCATACTCCAAGCACGTTGTCAGGTGAGCTATCTTCCCAGCTCTCCTCTTCCAGTTTCTTGCAGAAACAAGAAACATCGCCCACGTTCCTTGCCTGAGACTGTATCACTTCTTTATCTACCTCCATGGTCATGTTGCCTCCTTCTCTCTGTGAGGTCTCTCCTCTGTCTTTTACAAAGACACCTGTCATTGCACTTAGGGGTCACAGATAGTTAATGGTCTTACATAAAAAAGTCTCTAGCTTAATTTGAGTCTCTTGTTGAAATTCTCTTCCTAAGGGCCTAGGTCCTGCCCTAGATGTAATGACAGACTCTGCAGATCCCCCCATGGAGGGCCTCACCCTCCATGGGGAATGGTGTGGGGATTGCGGGGGGGGGGGGGGGCTGGAGGACCTGGTGGAGGGACAACGGAGGAGGGGTAGGAGAGGGAGCTGGGATTGACATGTGAAGCATGCATGTTTCTAATTTAAATAAAAACATATATTGAGAAAAAAATTCTTTTCCCGAGACCCCACTGTTCATATTAGGTAACACACAGGTTCTGAATTTAGACATGGACATATTCTTGGCTGTCTTATCATTTAATATGAATAAACCTTCTCTCCATGGCCAATTCAAAGTTGATGAAAAGAGTGACATAGGAAAGAGGAGCCATCTTAATCAGAACCATACCAATCACTTGTTCCCCTTTCCTTGATGAAGCGCTTTTATTGCTCCAGACCTTTATCCATTATATAGAGTGAAAGTCTTTCTGTAGTGAACTTAAGCACATAGGCTGATTTTATGTGAGAGAAAAACCATGCAGAATAAAACAGAGAGAAGGGGAAGGCAAGTTTTTAATCAGACACTCAAAAATGCATGTTCAGTCTTTCAAACAAAGCTGTGGCAAGATGACAGGATGGTTGATGAAACTAGTATTCAAAAGAAAAAGATTTTGATGGGGCAAAGCCTGAGCTAGCCCTGCAAGATAGTACAAAAGTGAAAACTGGACACCAAACACTCCCTCCTCAAAGCCTATGTGTTTATGATCTGCATAAACAGATCACAGTTCCCCAAATCCTATCACAATAAGTCACAGGCTTCTAAAAGAACAAATTTTC